CTCCGCTGGGCCTCCCAGGAGCCCACGAAACGCGCGACAATTGCGCAGATCGCAGCCCCCAGGGCACCGCGAGGTCTCGAGGTTATCCGCGTGGGACCCACCTCCGCTGGGCCTCCCAGGAGCCCACGAAAGTGAAGACAATTGCGCAGATCGCAGCCCCCAGGGCACCGCGAGGTCTCGGTTTCGAGGTGATCCGCGTGGGACCCACCTCCGCTGGGCCTCCCAGGAGCCCGCGAAAGTGGCGGCAATTGCACAGATCGCAGCCCTCGGGCACCGCGAAGTCTCGAGGTGATCCGCGTGGGACACACCTCCGCTGGGCCTCCCAGGAGCCCACGAAACGGGCGACAATTGCGCAGATCGCAGCCCCCAGGGCACCGCGAGGTCTCGAGGTGATCCGCGTGGGACCCACCTCCGCCGGGCCTCCCAGGAGCCCACGAAAGTGGCGACAATTGCGCAGATCGCAGCCCCCAGGGCACCGCGAGGTCTCGGTCTCGAGGTGATCCGCGTGGGACCCACCTCCGCCGGGCCTCCCAGGAGCCCACGAAAATGGCGACAATTGCGCAGATCGCAGCCCCCAGGGCACCGCGAGGTCTCGAGAAGATCCGCGTGGGACCCACATCCGCCGGGCCTCCCAGGAGCCCACGAAAAACGGCGACAATTGCGCAGATCGCAGCCCCCAGGGCACCGCGAAGTCTCGGTCTCGAGGTGATCCGCGTGGGACCCACCTCCGCTGGGCCTCCCAGGAGCCCACGAAACGGGCGACCATTGCGCAGAACGCAGCCCCCAGGGCACCGCGAGGTCTCGAGGTGATCCGCGTGGGACCCACCTCCGCTGGGCCTCCCAGGAGCCCACGAAAGTGGCGACAATTGCGCAGATCGCAGCCCCCAGGGCACTGCGAGGTCTCGAGGTGATCTGCGTGGGACCCACCTCCGCTGAGCCTCCCAGGAGCCCACGAAAGTGGCGACAATTGCGCAGATCACAGCCCGACGGCACGAGAGAAAAGGAGAGGGGAACACAGGAAACAGGAGAGGAGGAGGGGAGGGGGGAGGAGGAGAAGGACGGGGCGACCACACTGCTCTATTCAAAACGAGTACCCAACCATAGGATGGTTGGGAAAAACAGTCTGGGGCACATCAAGTCTGCAATCGATCCCCTACTCGATTTGGTCGTCCCCCCACAGAGGAGGAGAAACAACGAAACAAAAATCCGCCGGCCCCCTTGTGGGGCCACCAGGCTGTAGGCCGGAGATTCGCAGTTTCCTGTACCAGTTGCAGCTTCCAGTTTCCACTGACAGTTCTGCTTCTTGCTGCTTGCTGTTCCTTGATGACTTCTTGCTGCTTATTGTTCCTTGTTGATGGACCGCGCGAGGGGGGGAGGCCCAAAACAAGCATTTCTACCACGCCCAAATCGTATTGTCTGAATTGCTGGAGAGGGTAAAAACTTATACCCCTCACGCAGATCGGCGGGGTCAGCGTCCAAAAACACATAGGATTTGCCACATTTCTGAAATCCGGAGGCACACCTCACGCAGATCGGCAGGGTCAGGGTCCAAAAACACAAGGAAAAGCCACATTTCTGAAATTCGGCGGCACCCCTCACGCAGATTGGCGGGGTCAGGGTCCGAAAACACAAGGGATTTGACACTTTTCTGAAATTCGGTGGCACACCTCACGCAGATCGGCGGGGTCAGGATCCAAAAACATAAGGGATTTGCCAGATTTCTGAATTTCGGCGGCACCCCTCGTGCAGATCAGCAGGGTCAGGGTCCAAAAACATAAGGAATTGCCACATTTCTGAAATTCGGCGGCACCGCTCACGCAGATTGGCGGGGTCAGGGTCCGAAAACACAAGGGATTTGACACTTTTCTGAAATTCGGTGGCACACCTTACGCAGATCGGCGGGGTCAGGATCCAAAAATATAAAGGATTTGCCAGATTTCTGAAATTCGGCGGCACCCCTCATGCAGATCGGCAAGGTCAGGGTCCAAAAACACAACGGATTTGCCACATTTCTGAAATTCGGCGGCACCCCTCACGCAGATTGGCGGAGTCAGGATCCAAAAACACAAGGGATTTGACACTTTTCTGAAATTCGGTGGCACACCTTACGCAGATCGGCGGGGTCAGGATCCAAAAAAACGCAAGGGATTTGCCAGATTTCTGAAATTCGGTTGCACCCCTCATGCAGATTGGCAGGGTCAGGGTCCAAAAACACAAGGGATTTGCCACATGTCTGAAATCCGGCGGCACCCCTCACGCAGATCGGCAAGGTCAGGGTCCTTTAACACAAGGGATGTGCCACATTTCTGAAATCCGGCGGCACCCCTCATGCAGATCGGCAGGGTCAGGGTCCTTTACAACAATGGTTTTGCTACATTTCTCAAATTCGGCCGTAGGGTCAGGGTCGAAAAAAACAAACGGGTCCCGACACTGCCTCACGGCGAAGCCAAAGCCTCACGACTTCGCTCCTCCATGGCCCCTTCTCCGAGAGAGGGGGTTGGCGGCAGGGGGCGAAGAGGAGGAGGAGGAGGAGGAGGAGGAGGAGGAGGAGGAGGAGGAGGAGCCCTTACGGATAAACTTTCGAAGGCCCACGCGGCGTGCCTGGATCCGCGCTGGACCCCCCCCTCCCTGGCGCGCGGAGCGCGCTGGGGGGCGGCGCCGGCGACGCCGCCAGGGGGGGCCCACCGCCGACGCAAGAGATCCGCGCGGACCGCCGAGCACTTCTTGTTATACCGTTCTCTGTGGATGCCATGCCTCCGACAATCCTATAATGGAATTAAAGGACTGGCACGCCTTTAATTTGCACGGTAGTTATACGTAATACGGAGGACTGTTATTCAATTTGGACAGACAATCAGCCTTTGAATTGAAGGACTGGCACACCTATAATTACTACAACTAAACCATCCAGTCAGTTCTTGTCATACCGTTCTTTGTTACACTCCGACAATCCTATCATGGAATTAAAGGTGTGCTTATGTATGAAGATGTTATTGTACATGTTGAAGACATGTCTGAAACGTTGTTGGACACCTGGAAACTATTTGGCAGCATGCCTCCTCTCCGCTGATCAACTTCCACAAGCCGTTCTCTTCTCCGACAACCGCGCAACGCCCGACGCAGAGCTCCCCTGAGATCCGGAGGGCCGCGAATCTGCCCACGCACTGGGCGTGCGTCTCGCCCCGCTGCGGGCTCCCCCTGGGCCTCACGGATCTCGATCCGCCCCGGGAGGCCGAGTGCCAGAGGATGGGCGGCATCTACGGAGGGGCCGCGTCGTGGTTTTTGCCGCGATGCTGCCACTTGCGAGTAGGGGGATCGACTACAGAACTCATTCACACCAGACTTGATTTGCTCTTTGAAAATGCAACAAAATACGTGGAATGCTCCGTAGACCAGCAGAGCATTCTACGTGTTTTGTCGTAGATTCACAAGGAAAACCAAGATGGGGGTAATTCAGTTCTGCAGTCGATCCCCTAGCCAGCATTTGTGACTACTTACCACACAACCCCAGGCAAACCCGAGGTCCCAAAGTTCGGGTTGGGGGTGCGTGCGGGTTCCATTGTGTTCATCCAGATCTTCCAGGGTACCTCCCCCACTGGGAATGGAGCGCAACAGATTGGGGCATTCGGGTTGGGTTGAGGTGGTTTGGTGGGCGGTGAATTTGTTCGCCACGTCGGATCTCAGGGTCACAGGCAGGAGACAATTTCTGGGAGGCCTCGGTGAGACCTAAGCGGGATCAAGCATGACCATGCCAGATTCGGCCAGTTTTCGTCCAGAGAGATACCAGCGTCGATGCTGAATGTAACTAGCCCAGAGTTGCATCCTGGCTGAGAGCTGTCGAGGCGCCTATGCCGGCGGGGCCTACTAGTTCCGCCTCCTCTGCACTACCATCATCTGCCCAAACTCGTACGCGGCGACATCCGGCTCGGCGGCCATCCTGGCTCGCAGGGCGTCGATGGCCTTCTGACCAGACCCTTCTTCCAGGTAAGGGAAGCCATATTTCTGGTAGCGCAGCGGCGGCTGTCCCTTGAAAGGGGTGAGATCAATGCAGACGACGGAGTCCTCGCTAAGCATCCCCGGGGTGTTCCTGAGCAGATCGAGATACATCTCCATACGTTCCTTGTCGGCATCCAGTACGACGAGATCGAAAGGCTTGCCGTCCACGGCCTTCTCCGCGAGCTCCTTCAGGGAGGTTTCCGCGGGCCCCACCATGTGCTTAATCTTGTGGCCAAAGGGGCTGCGCGTCTGGAAACGCTTGGCGAAGTCCACCGCGTACTCGTCCTCAGGGAGCTGCCGACAGCGTGGTGGGCGTGAGAGCTGCCCGAGCCCAGGGTAAGCAATCATCAACAGAAGCGAGGCCGCGTGGCTTCGCGCATCGCGCGGCACTCCCGCGCTCTCGCGCGGCCCCATGGCAGAGGCACCTGTATGGCCCAGACTGGGAAGCGAGCACGATTCGACTATTGTAGAGGCCTCCTAGATGGGGTCCGAGTAGATGAGGTCGGAGGATCACGCCAGATCGCCGATGCATCACCGATGCATCGGCGATGCACAGGCACCGCATCGTCGATGTTGGCGGTGCATCGGCGACGTCGACGTGAAGCAAATCGGGCTCCGCATCGAGCAGCATCGGCGATGCATCGGCGATGCGGCGCGATCCTCCGACCCCCTCTGCTCCGACCCCAACAAAGAGGCCTAAATGTCATCGTCGCGCCCATGTGGTGACCCACGGCCGGCTCCCGCCGAACCGACGCGGCCGCTGGCTCCGCTGACCTGGGCGAGGTCTTCGCTGCCCCACGGCGGCGACCGTCCAGAGACGGGCCCTGGCTCCGTCCGCCAGTGGCCTTCAACCTGGAGAGCCCAGGCCGGCGCGCGCGGCAGCAAGGGATCCGATGTGTTGTGGTTGTGGAACACGGGGTCCCGTGAAATCTCAACCCTTGAGCAAGGACCGACCGTTCCGGCATTCCTATAGTGATTCGAACACGAGTATGTTCTCAGAGCAACTAACGAGGTTCGTAGAACAGAAACCTGATGTATTAGAACCAGATACCCCCGTCAGAGATGTCCTAAGAACCCTTCGAAGAAACCACACGAAAGGTTCTTAGAACACTGTTTGGGTCGGCCTATAGGCACGCCAGGGCACTTCGCCACTGCTTGAAACCCTTCCCCCAGAGCTGGCGTTGCATCCAGAGTTGTGCTTTCTCCGCCCTGGGGCTCGACGAGGCCCCTGGTGCCCCCCCTGAGGCCGAACGCGACGCAGGATCTCCGCGTCGAATGTTTCGATGCGCCGGAGGTCTGGGAAACTGCAGGCATACAGGGCTCCCGGGTGGGGACCGAGCAGATGGGGTCGGCGGACTGCGCCGCATCCCCGATGCATCACCGATGCGTCGGCGACGTCCGGGTAGAGAACATCGCGCTCCACGTCGAGCCGCATCGCCGACGCATCCGCGATGCGGCGCGGTCCTCCGACCCCGCCTGCTCGGGCCCCAGCGGGAAGGCCCCGCGCAGGGTGGCCGCGGCCGAGGCTGCCCCCCGCCGTCCAGCTCCAGCGATAGCACCTCCCCGCCCTCGGGCAGCGCCTCGGCCAGCGCCAGCGCCGCGGCGCCGCAGAAGCTCCCGACCTCCAGGACGCGGCGCGCCCGCGAGGTGGCCGCGATCGCCTGCAGCATGGCGCACCGCTCGGGGCCCGCGGACCAGTCGGCCTGCATGCGGATCTTCGTGACGCGGGGGGGCCCAGAGCCCGCATCGGATGCGGTCCAGGCCCTCAGAAGGCGTGGCAGTCCCACCAGCCCTCTGGGCGCAGGTGGTATACCGATGTCGTTCTTTCCTCTACGGAAAATCCTTCATCCCTTTCGGGGAGGGTTTTATCACTGCGCCCTATTGAGATACACCCCCTCCCCGACCCGGCTGGCGGCCAACCGGGAACCATGCCAACCCCATGAGGGCCACCCCCCCACCATCCATGTCAAATATATATATATATATATATATATGTATATATTTATAAATATATATATATATATATATATATATATAACGCACTCTGCGTCCACATTTGGAGCATGCGCGGCCAACCCGATGCGGCCCCCCCACCACCCCTGTCAAAAAACAACGCAAAATACACTTTGGGGCAAAGTCTTGAGTCCTGTCCGTGAGGCCCGCGAAAACGTTGTATTGTGCTTGGCAGGGACTGCGGGGGTGCCAGCATACTCCCTGCTGTGCGCAGGGCTGCCACCCCTGACCAAACAAATGCACCTCGCGGCTAAATCTGGATTATGCGCGGCAGTCCCGCGATCACCGTCAAGTGGTTTTTGACAGGGACGCCGGGGGTGGTGGCGCGTGGCCTGCTGTGCGCAGCCTAGCACGCTCGGGCCCCAGGGGTGCCTGGCGCGCGTGGCGCCCGAGGCACGAATGGCGCACCTCGCCCAAGCGTCGCGCACCTGGGGTCGGCTTTGGTTCACAGTAGCTGCCCATCGAAAGACGACCGCTGAACATGCTCAGGCTCGGGTGTTACTCATGTGTTGGGAGGGCGGGTGGGAGTGATCTGGACGGCTTGCGGGCGGGTGGGTAGCTTGATCACTGCTCCTTATTCATATGCATCCCCTCCCCACGCGACTGGCGTCCAACCAGGAACCATGAGGACACCATGACGACCCGCCCCCCCACCATCCCCTGTCAAAAAACAGTACCAAACGCACGCTGCCTCCACATTTGGAACATGCGCGGCCAACCCGATGCGCCCCCGCCAGCATCCCTGTCAAAAAACAAAGCACAATACACTGTGGGCAAAATCTCGGGTCATGCTCGTGAGACCCGCGAAAACTTTGTATTGTGCTTGGAAGGGACGGCGGGTGTGCCAGCATAGTCCCTGCTGTGCGCAGGGCTACCACCCCTGACAAAAAATGCACCTCGCGGCAAAATCTGGATCATGCGCGGCAGTCCCGCGATCACTGTCATACGGTGTTTTACAGGGACGGCGGGGGTGGTGGCGCGTGGCCTGCTGTGCGCAGGCCCACTAGACACAATGATCGGCATTGGTCCTCGAGAAAAAAAAAGCGGGGGGACGACATGCTTCCCGATGTGTTGTGTCACGTGCGCAGACGCATCTGACGCACTCTGCACATGCCACGAACATGGCGCACCTGGCGCGGCTGGACTGTGCGGCACACCTGGTGCACTCGGAGCACGTGGCGCATCTGGCGCACCAGGCGTGCCTGGCACGCTCGGGCCCCAGGGGTGCCTGGCGCGCGTGGCGCCCGAGGCACGAATGGCGCACCTCGCCCAAGCGTCTCGCACCTGGGGTCGGCTTTGGTTCCCAGTAGCTGCCCATCGACAGACGACCGCTGAACACGCTCAGGCTCGGGTGATACTTATGTGTTGGGAAGGCGGGTGGGAGTAAGATAGACGGCTTGCGGGCGGGTGGGTAGCTTCACCCCTCCCCCTACCCCCTCCCATGGACCTGGAAGGGGGGTTCCGCGAGCGGTCAGGGCGTCCAAGATAGCCTGGGATGGCTCCAAAGGGCCTCATGAGCCCAAGGTAGCCTCCAAGATCGCTCAAGATAGCCCAACATGGCTTGGCGACACCTGCCCGGGGAGCCAAAATCTTTCAATTACATGAGGAATAGTACTGAGTTCTGCCTTCTCGCCTTTTCGCTTCCAATGCACGCTTGAGGCCTCAAGATGGCCCTAAAATGACCCAAGAGAGCTCCAAGAAGGGCCCAAGAGGGCCCCAGGACTGCCCCAACAGCGCCCAAGATCGTCCCCGAGAAGCGATTTCGATGGCCCCGGAGGGGGGAGGGAAATCTAGGACCCCCCCTCCTTTGATTGATGGTCTCCAAGATGGCTCCAGGAGCCCCAAGAGGGCCCCTATGAAGGCCCCAAGGCGCCCCAAAAGAACCCGAAGAGGACCCCAAGACCTCCTAAGAGCCCCAAGAGGGCCCCAAGATGCCACAAAAGAGCTCCAAGAGGAGCCCAATACCCCACAATGCAGCCCCGTAGCTCCAAGAAGGCCTCCGATGCTCCAAGAGAGCCTCCAAGATGGCTCAACACCCTCCTTCCTCTACTCGCCTGGCACGCTCGGCTTCACTATATGTGTCTCTTCGTCCCTTTTTTCCCGTCAGCTCTCCTGGGCGGGGCTCCTGAATGGGCTGGTGGGGATTTGTTCCCCAACCATCCTGTGGGATTGGGTCCTCGTCTTGAAGAGACGGTGCCCCGCGTTCTCCTCCCCCTCCTCTCCTCCCCCTCCCCCTCCTCCCTCCTCTCATCACCACCAACATCATCATCATCATCAGCATCATCATCATCATCATCATCATCATCATCCTCATCATCATCATCATCATCATCATCATCATCATCATCATCATCATCATCATCATCATCATCATCATCATCATCATCATCATCATCATCATCATCATCATCATCATCATCATCATCATCATCATCATCATCATCATCATCATCATCATCATCATCATCGTCATCGTCATCGTCATCATCATCATCAGCATCATCATCATCATCAGCAGCAGCATCATCAGCGTCGTCTTCATCAGCATCATCAGCATCGTCATCAGCGTCATCATCATCAGCATCATCATCACCACCACCACCAGCATCGTCATCAGCATCATCACCATTATCGTCGTCGTCACCATCATCAGTATCAGCAGCAGCATCATCAGCATCAGCATCAGCATCAGCATCAGCATCATCAGCATCATCATCATCATCAGCATCAGCATCAGCATCATCATCGTCGTCACCATCACCATCAGCATCATCATCATCATCATCATCATCATCACCATCATCATTATCATCATCGACATCATCGACGTCATCATCACCACCATCATCATCGTCATCATCACCCATTTCGACACACCCCTCACATGCTTCGTGGCCCCATAGGGAGCTCCTCCGAAGGCCCCAGTGGCAGGGTTCGCATGGCGGCCCCGCCCCATTTCGGCGCACCGCTCACGAGGATCGTGGCCCCATAGAAGCTCCACCGAAGGCGCCAGTGGCAGGGTTCGCATGGCGGCCCCGCCCCAGTTCGGCGCACCCCTCACGAGGATCGCGGCCCCGTGGGGAGCTCCACTGGGCCCCTCGGGGCGGGGTGGGGCGGGGGCCGGATGGCACATCGGCCCAGGGCCTCCTCGCTGCGCGCGGGCGCAGGTCTGGGATGTCCGCGGGGGGAGACCCCCGGAGGCCCGGGGGGGAGGAGGCGGGCGCTGCCTACGGTCGAGCTTGGCTGGCGAGGACGCGCGAGAGGGCAGCAGAGACCCTTCCGAGGGCCACGTTGTCAGAAGCATGGGTCGTGAAACAGAGACAAGAGCTCCCAACTTCGTGCTTCGCGCTGCGCGAAGCGCGAAGTGCGAAGAACTTCGCGCTCTCGCGCCGCCTCCCAGGGGAGAAGAGGAGGATGAGGAGGAATCGGAGCCGAACCGCGAAGCGCGAAGCGCGAATACCTTCGCGCCCTCGAGGGCGCCCTCGAGAGAGCACAGAGGGCGCCCTCGAGAGAGCACAAGGATACCCTTCATGTGGAAGGGTCGACCTACTCATTCGACTCGACTGTACAGGGGGGGGGGGGCGAGGCGACAAATGCTGGGAGGGAGAAACCCTTCTGTGCCCCTCTTGGGCCCCCGAGGGTGCCCCTCTAGGGCCCTTCAAGGCACGAACGGTGCACCTCACCCCCCAATTCATCGCCCCCCAGTGCGCAGCGCCCGAAGCAGTCCGGGGAGGAGAGGTCGGGCCAAGGGGGGAGGAAGCTCACAGCTGGAAGAAAGAAAGAGAGGCCCTGCGCCAGCAACCCAGGGATGCAGAGAAAAAGAGAGAGAGAGAGAGAGACCGCACAGCCCGGGGCCACAGCAATGAGTTCGAAACCTTACCGCTCAACTGCCAGTGCCCAGTGCTGTTGCGAGACATCACAACGACTGCTTGAAGCGTGCGAGGCACTCTGGGGAAGTTCTGCCCACATCCGAACATCGGCCTTCCCAGGAGCCGACTACCAACCAGAGAAGGACCGACATCGACTACAAAGAAAACTAGCGTCGAAGGGGGTTTATGACTGTAAGGCTCTTGTCACAGCGCGAAGTTGTCAAGGGTGCGCTCGCGCAATAGTGCTGAGGATGGTCAGAAATAAGAGCCCACACTTCACGCCAGCTCGAATGTACTCACATGCACGCAATATTTGGCGGAGAGCGAGGGGGGGAAATGAGAAGGAGAAGACCTTATCAGAAGGCGGCGGGACTTCTCAAAAGCCCTCGCCCCTCCTGAGAAGTTGTTCCCCACCCGACAAAGTGGGGATGTTAGATTTCAAGAACAACCCCCACGGCAAACCCCACGCGTACCGCGGCCGCCAGACCCCAAGTTGTCCCGAGAGTCCCCGAGAATCCCTGGGACTCCGCCTCGCGCCCTCGACAAACACGACTGCATACCGCGGCCGCCAGACCCTAAGTTGTCCCGAGAGACCCCGATAGTCCCTGGGACTCCCGCCTCGCGCCCTCGACAAACACGACTGCATACCGCGGCCGCCAGACCCCAAGTTGTCCCGAGTCCCCGAGTCCATGGGAGTCCGGCCTCGCGCCTTCGACAAGCACGAAAAGCACAGCAATACACACCATAACATAACAGAACATAAAATGGCAATACCATGACAAGCACAGCGTAATACATCATCACGAAGCACATCATGGCAGGGCATTGCAGACCATAACACTACATAACACACAATAGCATAACATAACTGAACATACCATGACACTCATTGACGGAACCTAGCATAACATGACACAACGTTCAGAACATGCCATATCACACCAACAGAGCGACGACCACGACATGATACAGCATGTCACAATCTACTATACCATAACAGAACACGATCATGACCCAACATGACGGGTCTTCACATGGCAGTATCATTACAACCCAGACCATGACATAACATCACAGGTCATGCCCTATCATATCATGACATAATAGCACATAGTGGACAGAGCACGACATAGCATAACAAATCATGGCAGACCATGACAGAACAATGCATATCATGAGACAACATTATCCCAGTGCGACCCTACCTAGGAGTTGGAGCCCCTAGGAAAGCAGCATGAGTAGTAACAGTAAAGCTACGCTAAGCTAAGCTAAAGCCAAGATAAAGCTAAGCTAAGCTAAGATAAAGCTAAAGCTAAGCTAACGCTAAGCTAAAGCTAAGCTAACGATAAGCTAAAGCTAAGCTAAAGATAAGCTAAATTAAAGCTAAGATAAAGCTAAGCTAAAGCTAAGCTGAAGCTAATTTAAAGCTAAAGCTAAGCTAACGCTAAGCTAAAGCTAAGCTAACGATAAGCTAAAGTTAAGCTAAAGCTAAGCCAAAGCTAAGCGATAAGCGCAAGCTTAGCTAAAGCCAAGCTAAAGCTAAGCTAAAGCCAAGCTATAGCCAAGCTAAAGCTAAGCTAAAGCTAAGCTAAAGCTAAGCTAGAGCTAAAGCTAAAGCTAAGCTAAAGCTAAGCTAAAGCTAAGCTAAAGCTAAGCTCAAGCTAAGCTCAAGCTAAGCTAAAGCTAAGCTCAAGCTAAGCTAAAGCTAAGCTAAAGCTAAGCTCAAGCTAAGCTAAAGCTAAGCTAAAGCTAAAGAAAGATAAGCCTGAGCTAAGATGAAGCTAAGCTATGCTAAGATACAACCATCTAAGCTAAGATGAGATAAGCAACGCTAAGCTAAGGGGACGTAACTGGGGGAACCGCGGGGCGGATACTGGGGGAACCGCCGGGGGCGAGTTGCACTGCCCGGCCCTTTAAGCATACCGAGTAAGAACCCTTCTAGGCAGAGCCTCGGTAGAGAAAAAAACACCATACCATCACATAACAAACATGACAGAACACACCATTGCAAATCATGACACACTACAACATAATATAACATCACAAGCCATACCATGGCAGAACATTGCAGAACACAACATGACACAACACGCCATATCATAACAGGACCGAACATAACATAGCACACCGTGATGAACAAATCATATCGCGACACAGCGTTCAGAACATGTCATAACACGCCAACAGAGCATAGCGACGAACACGACAGAAGACAACACGTCACAATATACTATAACATAACATATCGCGATCATGCCATAACATGACTGGTATCATTACAAACAAGAGCATGACATAACATCACATAACATACCAACTCATCTCATGCTAAACATAGTAGACATAATGCGACATAACAAATCATATGACATATCATGACAACATGATGTACATCATGAAAGAACAGACCACAACATTACGTCACATAAAAACAGAGCATAACGTCTCATAACAGAGAAACAGACCATCAGAGAACAAACCAAACCAGAGCACAATATATAATCACATAAAACCAAGCCAGACCCCCAGTTGTCCCGAGAATCCCCGAGTCCTTGCCGCCGCCCCGCTGCGGGCGGCCTCCTCGCCTGCGTCCCTCAGTCTCAGGATTGGAGGGGGGAAGAAGGAGGAGGGGAAGGAGGCATGGGGCAGGAGGAGGAGGACAGGCGCCCAAGGTTTCGGTGAGGATCGCTCGAAGCAAAAAAAACTTGCGTCTTCGGGGAAGGCTCAACAAAACTTCTCGGAAGGCCCGGGGGCGTCCGAGGCTTCTGAGAAGGCCCGCCCCTGCTCGCTTCCAACCCTCGCCTCGGCCGCCGAAAATGAAGGGGAACTGGGACACACAAATAAATACACACAAATAAAAAGATTCCCCATATTTTCCCATATTTTCTGGGTTTTTGTCTTCCCCCCCACTTCCCATATTTTCCCATGTTTTCCTGGGAGTCGACGATTAATTGTGTCTGTGTGTTTTTTCCCCTCCTGATTCCAACCCTCGCCTCGGCCGCCGAAAAACGAACAGCGGTGCCCCTTCCCGAGCGAGCGCCCTCGGCGCGCGAAGAGAGCGCCCGAGGAGCAGGCGCGCAGAGAAGGCCCGAGGAACGGGCGGGCCCGCTCCCGGCCCGAACTGCGCCTCGCTGTGCGGCGTCGTTGGCTGCCGCACGGCGGACCCCCTCCCCTCCTCCTCCTCCTCCTCCTCCTCCTCCTCCTCCTCCTCCTCCTCCCCTCCCCTCCCCTCCGCCTCCTCCTCCCCTCCCCCCTCCTCCTCGCGACACCCCCTCCCCTCCTCCTCCTCCTCCTCCTCCTCCTCCTCGCGACACCCCGACATCCCTCCGACAGGAGCTGCTCCAGCCGCGGCTTCGCAGGGTCCCGGCCCCTTCCCCGCCTCGGGTGCTGCTGGAAGTGCCCCTGGCCCGAGGTGCCCCCCCAGCCTTTCGCTCCGCCTTGGAGCCCCTGGGGGCCCAAGGTACCCCCCCAGCCTTTCGCTCCGCCTTGGAGCCCCTGGGGGCGCCCTAGAGGCCGTCTGGGCCACCCCAAGAATCCTGCGGGCACCTTGGGCCAGGGGTACTTCTAGCAACACCCGAAGCCCCGACCCATTCCCCGCTGTAGCCGGTCGTCCCCGATCCGTTTGCGATGGTCCCGGGGCCCGATCGTCGGCAGTCGGAGCAAAAGCACGTCGGCGGAACAAGACACATCGTCGGCAATCTGGCACTGCTCCCCGCTCCTGCGCCTGGACCGCAGCACGGCAGGCTCCCGACCCCCCGGATGGACTCGGTGTAGTTCCTGGCCCAGTCCTCCGCCGCCACGGCCTTGCGGAGCTCGTCGGGGGCGCTCTGCTGCTGCGGGGGAGCCCAGGCGCCGCCCTGGCTCGTCTGGTGCTGCAGGTGGCCGTTCCCACGATCGTACGGCCACCCCGGGGCTCAAGTCGGGCGTGTCCCCCCCTGCAGGGGGATGTTCAACGAAAAACCAAACATAATATAAAAAAATAGTCCCAAATGGTCGAAAAATGCTCAACAAAATAGTCCCCTGACTATGTTTTGAGAGACGGGCCTGACGCAACCCGAGGCTCACAGGCCCGGACAGCCAGCGTACTGACAGGTCCGTGCGGCGATAGTTCGTCGTCTTCGGCCTCCATCGGGGAGGGACAGACCCCCCTTTAGTAAAACGTGGTTCAGTGAAAACGACCTGAGGCCCAAACCTGGCGGGCGAAAGCCTGGAAAGTAACGGCCACGGCGCCCTCTCGAGACCCGAAAACGGACCATGAACTAATCGACGTGTCACTGTTGTGAAGGGGCCCACAAACACACAAATAAATGCACACAAATAAAATGATTCACCATATTTTCCTATATTTTCTGGGTTTTTGTCTTCCCCCCCACTTCCCATATTTGCCCATATTTTCTGTGGAATCGACGATTAATTGTGTCTGTGTGTTTTTTCCCCTCCTGATGTTGGGGATTCTGTCCGCCCCCGATCCAGGGGCCCTCGCCCCGCCGATCAGACAGTGGAGAGACTATGACGCCACTGCTCGGCATTCAAAACCAGCACTGGGGAAGGCGTCGGGACTGCCGAAGACCCGCGCTGCAGAGACAGTCTATCGGATCTTTGGGGGCTCAATCATCGGCGGTGGACAAACCTCCCTTTAGTAAACCTCCCCTAAGTTAGTAAACCTCCCCTAAGTGAAAACGGCCTGGGACCGAAGCCGACGGACCTGGGCCCCTCGCGAACCGAAAACGGCCCATTTCTCAATCGACGTGTCAGGGTAGGAGGTCTATCCACCTCCGAAATGAACGACCAGGAGCATGTGGACAAAGAAAGACGCGCACGACCGTGAAACATCAAGGTGACACACCGGGCGCAGGTGGCAAGACGAGTCTGCTCTTCCTTGCTGCAAGACCCTTCTTCTCACTGCTCCCCATCAAGAAACACCCCCTCCACCTCTCGACAGGCGACCGACCAGGCGCAATACCAACACACACGCACACACAGTCCCTGCAACCAAAAACAGACGAACTGCATGTTGCGGCAAATCTGAATCATGTTCGGGCGCCCCAGGATCACCTTGCGCCGTGATCTGACAGCGACGGCGGGGAGCCATCACACTGCCCGCTGCGCGCAGGCCCGCCATCCCTATCAACAAAAAAAATCAAAATGATTGCGTGGCCACCTAACACACCTGGCGCGCGTGGCGCACGGGGTACGCACGGCGCACCTCGCGGACGTCGCGGACCTGGCTGGCGTCTGCAGTGGTTCCCGATGGTTGTCGATGGCGGCCACTGCCTCTGCTGAGACTCGGGTGGTGCGTACATAGTGGGAGTGGGCGGGTGGGAGTGAAAACCACGCAGCTCGCGCTGCTCCCGGTGGGAACTCGACCACTGCTCCCTACGAATACACACCCCCTCCCCCACTCGGGGATCTTCTGACCCGGGTCAATCCAGACCCGGGTCAGTCAGGTCCTGCAGTATCCTGCAAGATCCTGCGGGATCCTGCACACAAACCGGGGTCAATGCGAATGATCCTGCAGGATCCTGCAGGATCCTGCACCCAGACCCGGGTCAATGCGACACTGGCCCTGCAGGATGCTACAAGATCTGGCGCTCTGGCTGACCCCCGTTTGCATTGAGCCCCGTCTCAAGGCTCCCGACCCACCCACCTGGCGGTCCACCCGGGCCGACGAGGCCCCCTCCGCCATCCCCGGCAAAAAATCCGTACAAGGTGCACCCCGCACGCACCCCGTGCGCGGGAGACAGCCCGCGACGCCTTCGCAGACTGGTTCTCGAAGGGGGCGGCGGAGGTTCCCCCAGCTTACGCTTGCGGTGCAGGCCGACCATCCCTGTGAGGCACGGTGCGCACACCGTTGAAGGGGCCCAGGGACACACAAACAAATACACACAAAGAACAAGATTCCCCATACTTGTCCCATATGTTCTGGATTTCTGTCTTCCCCCCCACTTCCCATAGTTTCCCATATTTTCTCGGGAATCGACGATTAATTGTGTCTGTGTGTTTTTTCCCTTCCTCAACCTTGCCCCAAAAAAACCCGGACCATGCGCGCGAGCCCCGTGGACACCCGGCACTGGTTCTTGGCAGGGGGGGCGGCGGTGCCCTCAAGGTGTCCGCTCGGCGCAGGTCCGTCGTCCCTGTCGACACGCGGTGCAAAGCACACTGTGCGGCAACTCGTGCTCGGGCGCCCCGCGAGCAATTGTGAATCGGTGATTGGCAGAAGGGGGCGGTGGCATGGCGCCCTCATGTTGGCTGCTCTGCGAAGGCACTCGGTCCATGACTGAAAGCCATACAAGGTGCATTTTGCGTGCTCCGGCTGGTCCTCCTCCTCCTGATCCTCTGCGCCCTAATTGTTTTCGTCCTTCAACCTTCTCATCCAATCAATTCTCATGGCCATAGTTTCTGGATGAACTGGTAGCTTCACGAATTGCAGCATCGTTGAACATCACAACCAGACCAGCTGGACACACTAAGTTTCGCAGCAGTTCTCGAGCCACACCGACCTGTGACGGCCCCAGGGCCCGAAACCCGGCGAACGCGCCCGACGTGAAAGAATGCGGCGCCAGGATCTCGGGGTCTGCCGGCTGCTGCGGTGGCGCAACGAGGGCATGTACGAAAGCGTGTTCCCGGCCAGCCGTCGTGGGCCGTCCGGGAGCCATCCTGGAGCCACCCAGGGCGCCCAACCTGGGGCTTTTGGGGCAGCAGACGGGCACCAGAGCCGCCTCCAAATCGGGGTGGGTCCAGGCCTCCGGCGATGCAACCTGGAGCCGAGCCTTTGACCCCCCCCCTGGCCCCGTTGGCGCTTGCCCCTCGGGCCACTTCTGTTTCCAGGCTCGTCTTCTGAAGGCCCCTTCCTCGGAATGCCGAAGATTGCATGGAGCACCCGACTCGCTCATGCTTTCGACCACCAAGAAATGTGGGCCCGCTCAGACTCGGTCCCTGAACCTCTCCGGGGGCGCGTCTGCACCAGCGCCCCGAGGCGAATCCAGCCGTCGTAGCGAGACGAAAGCAGGCCTGCATGAACTCGACCCAGGAGAGCCCCACGAGGGCCCCGTGACCCAAAGATCCGATGTGCCCATCGGTCGGAAGAAGTAGGTAGAAACATGAGGTAGGAAGGCACCGAAAACAGATTGGGTGTCCGCCCGCCCCCGAAAGAGGACGGAAAGGTGAAGCCACTCGATCATTGCAGCAGGAATGCGCTTAAAGCAGATTGGAATCTGGGAGATCCAAAAACACCTAGTTTCAACGACCCGTGGGCACTGCTCGTGCCGCGACGGGGTTCCCAGAGAGGCCTGCAGGACCCCTTCCCCGAGGATCGGGTGGTGTCCTCCCGGGTCGCTGCTCGACGGCCACGGTGCCTCGCGAGGGCCACCATATGAGGGCTGGGCCTAAACACTGCTTGTCGTTGTGTCTTCGTGTTGCTCTACTGCAGGTCCGTGCCGTGTCGACCCTGGCGTTGGTTCCTGACACCGCGCTGGATCGTTCAACCTTGAACGATCGGCCGTCTCCGCAACGTCCGATCGTTCAACATCGACCGATTCTGGGCCGCCGTCGGCGTTCAACGTTGAACGCCCGCGCTGGGGTCGCCGCTGGTCGACACGACGCGAACCTACCGTACCTGTTCTCCTGTACCTCCCTCCCGAAACGAAAAAGAAAACACGGCCGAAGTCCAGCAAAACCGCGTTTACAGGGGAGCGAAAAGTGGCATAAACATAACAACTCGGAGGTCCGCGCGGATTTCTTGGATCCGCGCTGGACCCTCCTCACTGGCGCGCGGAGCGCGCCTGGGGCGGCGCCGGAGGCGCCGCCAGGGGGCCCCAGCGCCGATCCGAGAAATCTGCGCGGACCTCCGAGTTTTTTAGTTTATGTCATTGTCTGGTCCCCTGGTTTACGTCCAGCCCTGGCCCCCATATATAACCCGAAGTACATAGAAACAGCCCTCCGTCGTGAGATGCCTCCACGACGCGCGGGGGCTCACGAGAGGCGAACACCTCCCTGAGGACTCTCGACCCACGTCGGCGCCGTCGTCAACGCCGGCGTCGGCGTCGTCGGGTTGTCGTCGTCAGCGTCGTCGTCGTCAGCGTCGTCGTCGTCGTCGGCGTCGGCGTCGGCGTCGGCGTCTGCGTCGTCGGCGTCGGCGTCGTCGCCGTCGACGGCGTCGTCGTCGACGTCGTCGTCGTCCCCCTTCAGGGTCGGCGGCACCGGCCGTAAGGACTTCGCAGTAGAAACGACCCTCCGCAGAGATATTCCGTCACGGCGCGCGGGGGCCCACGAGAGCAGCCCAGATCCGCATCTGCGCCCTGGTCGTACAGCGGAGGCCAGCGGAGGCCAGTGCACACGAAGCCTTCCGCAAGAAACCCAACCCCGAGACCCCGGGACGTCCCCTGACCTCTGGCGTGGGGACGCCGCGCCCTCCGCGGCAGAGCCGCCGAGGCCCCGGGAGGCCCGGGGCACCCCGGGAGGCACGCAGAGCGCGCCTTGGCGTGGGTCGCCGCTGCACGGAGGCGCTGCGCACGGGGCGCCCGCGAGCAACCGGAACAAAAACGTCCGCGGGCTGTCTCGGCCCAGCGCCCCGGCCCGCGAGGCCGTGGACACGGGCACGCGGCCCGCCCACGACGGGGGTCTGGCTCGGTGGCAGCTCACGGGAGCCTCCCATGCCCTCTTGTCGGCTCTTGCGAGCCGACGCCAATCGACGCCAGTCGCCGCCGATGGACGCGAAATCGACGCCAGGTCGGCGCGACATCGACGCGAATCGACGCTCAATCGGCGCTGTCTCATCGACTCCCAGACGCGAATCGACCCTAACCGACGCCGAAGACGGACTTGAGAGGGTATTTTTCCAAGCTCCCATGATCTGCTGCTGAAGTCTGGGGAGGGGGGCCCCGAGAGCGGCGGGACGACCGTGAGCAGCTGTTCGGGAAGGTGGCGGCCGGGGAGGCGCCGGAGGCGAGGCTGGCGAGCTCGGCCATGGCGGCGCGCGGCCAGGTCCAGACTGCCGGGGCGGGGGCGGGAGTGTCGGCGGCCACACCAGTTAACATCGTTCATCCGATCCCTATCCCCAGCGGCGTGGCCTGGGCCCCGCTGGCTGATTTACCCCCCTAAATGGGGATACAGGCCGCTCCCTGCGGGCTTCGAGGGGTGTGTCTCCCCAACTGGGGGGGGGGTCATTTGGTGGGGGTCTCGAAGGGGATGGGGATGGGAACGGGGGTCGGTGAAACGATACTTTGAACACCAGGGGGGGGGGACACCCTGCGGGGCAGCAGGGCTGTTGCCCCGAGACCCAGGCGTGGCGCTCCGTTCCCACTGGGCGCCGTGGCGCGGTGTCTCGGGCCCCGGGGCCCTCACAGGTCGATAGAAAGCTGGGGAAGGACTGCACGGGGAAGCCGGGCCTGTTCATGAGCCTGTGTTCCACCACCACCACCACCATAAGCTGAAGGGGGGAAGGAGTTGGAGGAGGAGGAGGAGGAGGAGGAGGAGCAGGAGCAGGAGGAGGAGCAGGAGCAGGAGGAGGAGGAGGAGCAGGAGGAGGAGGAGGAGGAGCAGGAGGAGGAGGAGGACCCCCTCCCCCTCCAACTTATGGTGATGGTGGTGGAAAACAGGCCCATCATCTGTAGGGCTCCAGTGGTCGCATTTTGCTCGCAACGCGGAGCGGGGCGGAGCGCGACTGGAGCGGTACCGCTATTCAGGCAACCCGCGCTGGCACATGTTTTCCTTTCCCTGCTCGCGCACCGTCTGGTGAGGAGCGCTCTCGCTCGCCAGCGCGATCCTAGCCAGGCCACCCCCTGGGGGCGATCTTGGAGACCTCTCGGGCCGTCCTGGACCGTCGGGTGCTTGAGAAAGCGAGACCGCTACATTCCTTCAATAACAGAATGGCGAATCTATGAGTCTAGCCTCTCGGGGCCCTTTTGGGGGGGCTCTTGCAGCTCTCTCTCTTCGGGCATCTTGGGGATCTCTTGGGCCGTCTGGCGAGGAGGGCACGTGGTCAGAGTCTTGCCACACGGGATCCATGGCAAGAGGGGCGCAGTAGCTCCGTCGGGGAAGCAGCTTCGCCTGCGCAGGTGCACGAAGAGCGCCAGCGGAGCACCGGCGGAAGGAAACGAGGAGCGTAGTTAGATCGGGCATGTCCCCCTGCAGGCGGATTTTGATGAAAAACAACGTACTCAACTAAAACATCAAACAGAGTCAAAAAATAATAGGAAAATCGTCCTTAGACTATTTTGTGACTATTTCCCAATACTCCTCCTGTAGAGGGACATGCCCGACTTCAAGCCAGAGTGGACCTGCCCCCAGGAAGCCTTCGGACTGCGCAGGCCGATCCGGGGCCCGGGACTGGCCCAGGCCCAGGATCCGGCGCGGGTGCGCACAGGTAGTCAGCCGGCGTCCTCCCACCGCGCGCGGGGCACCGAGGTGGGGAGTTGCGCGCGGTTGCGGCCTGATCAAAAACGTCTGAGGCTCCTGCGGAGGAGGAGGAGGAGGAGGAGGAGGAGGCTCCCGTGGAGGAGGAGGAGGAGGAGGAGGGAGGAGAAGGAGGAGGAGGAGGAGGAGTCTCCTGTGGAGGGAGGAGGAGGAGGAGGAGGAGGAAAAGGAAGAGGAGGAGGAGGAGGAGGAGGAGGAGGAGGAGGAGGAGGAGGAGGAGGAGGAGGAGGAGGAGGAGGAGGAGGAGGAGGAGGAGGAGGAGGAGGAGGAGGAGGACGCCCACGACCACGAAGGGAGTGACCCAATTCGCATGCAACAAAAACAAACAAGTTAGGAGGGGCCTAGGCAGCCGAAGAGATCCTCCTCCTCCTCGGGAAGAACGCCTCTCCAGCGCCTGGCCTCGACCTCGGCCCCCAGCTCCACGACCTCCGCCCGCGTCAGGCCGAGCAAGGCGAGGCCTCGCGCACGGTCGGCAGCGGGACCCTCGCGGCGCGAGGGCTGGGCACCCCGAGCTATTCTCGGAGGGCGGTCGCGGCCCTGGGACCAGGCCTCAAAGAAGGGCCCCCACTCCGAGCGAACCTCAAGAGAGGGGGCACCCGTGTACGCCATAGTGAGCCCTTTAGGATTCCTATGGGCAGGATATCTTCCAGCACGAAATCGGTCAAGGTAAAACCCCCGTCCCCCAGACGCCACAGGACGACACCTCAACCGAAGATTCCCCCGTTTCGTGCTGGAATGTGCCATTGCACCACAAGCCGTGCAACACAGCATCGTATCGTGATACGTGCAGCCATCCGACTCATATACCACCCCCTGCTCAAGGGAGTGCCCCAGCTGGAGCCATGCTCCTGGGGTCGGGGGGTTCTCGGGAGGCGGCTCACCAGAAACAGCACCAGGGGCCTCGCCAGGGGCTTCCCCCGCACCAGGCGCAACCTGAGGCACACCGCTAGGCGCACTTGGCTCACCACCCCCAGGGTCCGAACCAGGAAGGGGGAAGCCAGGGACCGCATCCAGGAGGACGTAGCCGAGCCATTCCAACCCTTGATGATCGTTCAGGGCCAAATCCCTACACTCAGCCTGCTGCCTGGCACTGTACAGCCCGACACGTCGGACAAGCTCTGCATATCCAGACACAAATTGGCGGTCCTCAATCGAAATTCGGAATGGCTCAGCTCCTTCCTTGGCGAGTCTGTCCGCCTCCGAGTTCCCGAAACGCTGCATTTCAGTGATACGGCCTTCCCTAACATCAACCATCGACGAGTGAGACGGGATCTGATGCACTGCCAAGCCCTCCAAACGGTCCCCAATCTCAGCCCACCAGTGGGCTCGGGCCGACGACGCACCAGCTGCCCCCGCGAGGTTTCGAAGGCAACCGACCGTGGCCGCACAGTCCACATGAAGCGAGACACCTGAGGAGAGGACCGAACGGCGGGAGAGCATCAGCACAGCGAAATCCTCGCCGTCGCGTGCCTGTTGCCCAGGCGTTTCCCCGATCGGCACGACACCAAAAAGGGCAGCGAGGGTCCTACCCTGCCTGTCCAGCACCACAACAGCCCAACCCGCGGTCCCGAGTCCTGTGAGCTTCCCTTCAAAGCCCGACCCGTCCGTGAACACATGAGCCCCCTCAGGAATAAACAAGGGGCCGTCCTGAGGCCACTGAAAGTGCCTGGTGCACGGGTCCTGCGGGTCGCGGGGGGGTCGCTCCACCCAGGCCGCAGGGTTGGGGAAAAGACATCTGCTAAAAAGTTCCCCAGCAGGAGTGGGGAGATGGCCAACCGCACGAGCCGCCTTAGCAACCACGGGATCCAGGTTCTCGCGCCGCCAGGGAGCGAAGGCAACGCACTGAAACCTGCGATGGTACAACGTGCCTCTACCATCTCTGCACAGCTGGCATTGGTCAGGGGCCTCTGGACTATGCTCGCACACTCTGTGCTGGCACCAGTACACATTCGCACACAGAGCTGAAAGAGCTGCCTTGTGCGACTTCGTCCACGACTCCGAACATGTCCGCCCTAGAAGCTGATGAATGGGCTGCCAGAACACTGGGCCGCTCCACATCCCGAAATCAAATTGTTTCAACTGCTCCTCCCGCTCAATGGCCCGAACGACCGAGCCTCGCAGGAGAAGGGTGAAAAACTTGGGCGAAAACCGATCAATTGACCACACACGGTTGAGGTCGTCAACCAGGGCTAATCGAGACACATCGAAACTCCAGCGGATCCGAGCAAGCTGCAGGAAAAGCGCAGCAACAGGCTGGCGGACTTGGCCCCAGGGGGCCCTACTCCCCTGGACCGCCAGGGCGTCCTGGACACAAGCTTCCAACACTGGTTTAGAAATCGAGCGGGCCCACCAAACGCTGACGAATTCCTTTACAGCCGACGTCACCGTCACCAAAAGCGGGTCCCTGAGCCAGAGGCGAGCGGCCGAAAGAAACCTGAAGCCCAGGGAAGTGCCAGGAAGAAGAGGGCCCCAGGATCTCGCAGCTTGGACCCTAAGCTTATGGAGGGTGGTCGGCGGGATCCCCAAGATGTGGGATCCCCAAGAAGCTTTAGCCAGCGCGCCCACACGATAAACTCTACTATGCTTTTCACTCTGCCCCAGCTGTCGTAGGGCAACTGCAGTGCTGCGGGCGGCCTCAATTCTCGACGCCTGCGCGCCGACTCGCCTCGCCCTGCCGTCCAGCGAGTCGCCGCCGAGGTCGCGGTGGGCGATGACCAGCTTGTCGTCCGATAGCCTCCACCTGGGATCCTGTACCAACGCAGGCAGCTGGGAGTGATCGGACATCATGAATCTAGTCTTGTCCCAATTAATTGGCAACTTCCTCGAGTCCAGCTCCGAGGTGACAATCTCGAAACTCTTGACCGTGTTCTCAACAACCGTCCTTGGGCCTCCGATGGTATGCGTCGTCAAATCGTCCACCACATTCAACGCACGACACGGAGGCGTCTCCTCAGCCAGGCGCTTGAGGAGGCACAAGGTCATCAGTTTCGCCACTCCCGTTGCCGCACTGCAGCCAGCCACGATAGTTCCATTCGGATGACTGACTCTGCTCGTGCCTCCTGTCCAGCGCGCACGGCGTGGCGCTCGATACAGGCAGCAGAGCGCCTTCAGCAAGGCGCCGTCGAAGTTGTAGTGCTCTGCTGCTTCTCTTAGCTGCTGATGACTGACATTCTCGTAGAACTTGCGGATGTCATAGAACACAGTTATGGCCGACAGCCTCTTCCTTCTGGCGTAGCAGGCAAGCATATTGTGTACGTACGCCGCTTTGTCACAACTGGTCGTGGCATCCTTTCCCCAGAAAAACTTCGCATCAACCGACGCCTCCCAACCTTTGACATACTGCCTCCTGCATCTGCTCCAAATGCGCGCCCAGAAGCAAAGGAGCCCGATCGGGCGTGTACCTCCTCCTGGTTTAGGCAGAAATACATTGATCGTGACCCACATGCGTTCACAGTGCGGATTGCGCTCCCAACTTGAAATAATCTCTTGGAGCCTCCGAACAAACACTCCATCCAGGAAGCTTACCAACCTCATGTGAAAGTTGTCCCAGCCTAGACCAGTGGAAAAGCCAAAGGAGCGGCAGACCTGGACGATCTGGTCCTCCGAGATCTGGTCGAGCTTCCACGGGTAACTCCAGTCAGACGGCGCTGCCTCCTGGGCCCTGTCGTCAGAGATCCACAGCTCTTCCCATTCCTCCAGCACCGCCGTGATCGCAGCAGCTCCCACCAGACCATGGGGCTTGCCTTTGGCCAGCGTGGGCGCCTCCTCCAACAGCTTGGGCCTGGAAATCGCGTGCGCTAGCCTGCCAGAGCCATCAGCTGCGAGGTCGCCGAACTCTCTCCAGGCCTTACTCCTGGCCTGTGAGTCCTTGCGTCTGCGCACATCCACCTCCTCCGCTAGAACAGTTCGAAACCAGGCAGACAACTGACCTCCTCTCTTGGCCAAGGCGACCCACTTCTGGACATCCTTCGCCTGCAGGGAGGGGGAATCCGAGATGGCCTCAGGGAGCTTCAGGGCCAGCAGCTGTCTCTCGCACCTCGCGGAGTGCTCTGGCCTGCCTGCTTTCGAACCAGACGGAGCTGACGATGCCACACATAGGGCATCCCATAGCCTGAGAGCACTCAGCCTAGCTCTGGTGTCCGACTCGTCGTGTCGCTCTAGGATAGCCTTCGCACAGTCCACCAGCCTCTTCTTCTTGAGTACCACGCCCTTCTCCCTGCCAACGTCGAGCCTCCTGTCCGAGAACGGAATCTCGAACAACTGCACCAGGTACTTCTCAGCCGCCTTGAACCACTTCGCTGCCGCATCCTCGACTGAGTTCACGGGGGCGTCCAGTTGCCACTCGTCAAGCACAGGTACCATAGGCGGTTCCGTGGTCGAGGTGAGGTCGGTCACCTTGGCACTCTTTGCCTTCTCCCTGGCTTTCCTCTTGGCCTCCTGGTCGGCCAGAGGAAAGGCTCGTGGGGGCGCCTCGACCCAGACAAAGGGCTCGTCCCTGAGGCCCTCCAGCTTGATCTCAACGTAGCAGTGTGGCGAGATCGGCGCGTCCACCCTGGCCTCCACCGACATGGGGAAGGCGTCCAGAGCCTGGGAGCCAATGAAGTAGTCATACTCCTTGCCATTGCAGGTTGGGAGGCCAGGTGCGAAGATGGCGGCGGTTGCCAGGTCCAGCCATCCTAGCTCCATGATCTCCTCAGGTTCTAGGTTCCAGTCACCTCCTAGCAGGAAAGGGAAACGCTGCGCCCCCAGGAAGGCACTGAGGAACTCCAGCAGCTCCAGGTTCTCGCCCTTGGGGCCGATCGAGTCGACGCCGTAGACTGAGCCGATGATGGTCCACGAGTGAGCGCCAACCGTCATGAGCCTCATCACAACACGGTGCTGCCACCTCTCAGGAACCTGGAGCTTGGCCACCCCAATGCCAATGGCCGCTGACAAACCCACTCCTGCTGAAAGAGACCTGGCCGATTCTCCTGTGCGTTTGGCAGTTCCCAGCGCCAGCTTCCGAGAGCAAGTGCGAGTCCATTGATGAGCCCCTGCTCCCCCCGACTGGTCCAGCACGGTCTCCTGAATGCATAACACATGCGGCATCTGACATTGTTTCTCAATCCATGGAATGGTGCTCCGAGCCCTTGGCCACGTATTCGCATTCAGAGTGCCAACTTTGAACGTACCTAGGGCACCGCGATCCTCAGGAGGGAGCCCTTCCAACAATGAGATGACCTGCTTCGGCTGCAGCGCTGCTTGAGACTCCACCTGAGGTTGCTCAACACTGACTCCCATGGCTCGAGACTCAGCAAGTGGCGACTGAACCTGGCTGGGCACTTCCTCCGAGCATCGGTTGCCCCCAGGATTTAGCGATCTAACGCCAGACTCCAACGACGGGCTCTCACAATCTACTCTGAGACAGCCAGGTTCGAGGAGCGCCTGGCTGTCGCGTTCTGACACTGAAATTTCCTCACTGCGTGCAACAAAAGGTTTGGACGAGAGGGCCGCCAAGCTCTGGTTGGGCTTGACGGCTACGTTCTGACTGGCTGTCACGTTCTCGGCGCTCTGACATGTCGCCGAAGCCCGTGGCCACTCTTCCTCGCAATTTAACTCTGAGGAGACCAGGCTCGAGGCGCACCTGGTCTCCAATCCGACAAAACGGGAAGACGCCACCCACGAAGTCGACGGCGACACCGCAGCCCAGGGAGTCGCCGACACTGGAGCCGACGGCGACACCGCAGCGCAGGGAGTACCCGACACCGACGATGACAGCTCAACCGAAGAAGACGGCCTTGACGATGCGCTCGTGGCAATCGACTTCGCCGTCAGTGCACGCTCCTCCAGCGCCGCTGCCCGCCTGGGACTCGCACCTGCCGTGAGGCAGGCGGGTTCACTCAGGCTGCTCCTCTCAGGAGAGAGGACGCTAACGGCCGCCTTCTCAGGAACGGCACCGAGAGATGACCAGGAACAGGGAGTAGCCGAACTCGACCACGTCGCCCCCACTTGTGTCGAGCTCACGCTGTGGCTAAAGCCCCGACCGTTTTGCTGCCTGCACACCAACGTCAGCAGAGACACGAGAGCGAATGTCCAACTGTGGGGCAGGCTTGCCAACTGCATCAGCCGGCGCCTCGGCAGGTGAGCTCGCTGTCGCGGTCTCTGGGCTTGGCGAGGCCCCTGGTCCAGACTCGATCCCACCTGTGGCGGCTGCTTGTTCCCCAGGGCAACCGTCAGCAGTGCGTCGTCGCTTCGCTTGGAGTCGTTTGAGGTGCTCCTTGTGCTGGTCCTGGGCGGAATTGGCCTTCTCCAGAGCTTGGCGAAATACCGATCCCAGCACCTCTTGCAGCTGCTTCGCCACGTTGTTCTTGCGATCCTCGAGCTCTCGTAGGTCCTCTTCCGACACCTCGTAGCTGCCCTTGACAGCCTCCACATCAATGAAATCGTCACAAGAAATAAGGCTGGCCAGCTCCATCTCACCGTCGATGAGCTTGCGCAGGCTGATGCTCGGCAGGCCGCTGGACTCCGTCGCTGGTGGCCCTCTGTGCTGGCTCTGGAGCTCCACCAGGGCGGCTGCCACCTCGTCGTCGGCAGCCTGCAGCTCTCGGCCAGGGCCCCAACCGTGACTGCCAGCTCATCTGTCGCCCGACGCCAGCGCTCCAGCTTCTCGAACTCACTGTTGAGGCGTTTCTCGAGCTTCTCCTGCTTCTGCTCTGCGGCAATGAGCCTCTGCCTCCCCGACTGCTTCGGGGGCGGCGCCGCCCTCTGCGCCAGGGCTCCATAGCGCGCGGCCCCCACAGCGTCCCCAGCCTCACGAGCCAGACGCTGTAATTCGAGGGCCTTGGCCTGGGGAATCTCGGGAACAGGTCCAGGAGGGAGTGCCGTGGAGAGGTTGCCTGGGCCCTTGCCACCGAACAGATCTCCCTTGCCGCCTTTGTACCCTTTCTTTCCCTTGCTCGCTCCCTTCCCCGACTCGTCCGACGCCATGGGGGCCCCAGAGTCATCAAGTGGTTGGGGACGAGTACCGAGCTTTTGGCCACAATGCTTGCAGCACATCGATCCTTTTGAGTTCTTACGGCATCCGCAGTGGTGGCATAGAATTTCACCTTTGGGACCTGCCACCGTCTTCCATTCCTCCTCGTGCTTGGCTCGCTGGCTGTCCCATTTTTCCCACTTGGCTGCCGAACCCCCGCCCTCAGGTATGGTGCCCCCCCAGCGACGGGGCCGGGATGACTGAACCCACGGGCGGCGCTCCCACTCACCAGGGCCAGCCGGAGCCATGGCGCGAGAGCAAGGATTGGGATGTTGGAGGCTCGCGAACCCCTCGACCGAGGGACCTCCGTACAGGTTGGTTGCTGCCGCGGACTAGCGGTATCCGTTTTTGCCAGAGCGGGCTCAGCCCGCCAAAGCATGGGTCTTGAGCCAAAATGGCTACGGAGGAGGAGGAGGAGGAGGAGGAGGAGGAGGAGGAGGCGGAGAGAGACGATGACGACGATGACGACGATGACGACGATGACGACGACGAAAAAAGGCGGATGAGGGGATGATATCGGAGTGACCGGGATCTCGATCCGCATCGGGACCAGGCCGCGCTCCCCCCCGTCGCGTCTCTTATGCACCACCTCTCTGTAGCGGCCTTTCCAACTTCAGAGGCGTCGCAGACGTCCAGCGCGGTCACTTCGCGCAGAGACGCGACCCAAGCACGGTGGGCCTGGGATGGGTAACAAGGAGCAGCAGCAGCAGCAACACTCAAGGACTTCAAGCCGTCTGGTGTCCACTCTAGAAATAATTTGACTCTTCCTGGGGTCGTTAAAACCCTTATTTAACCCCCCATCGCCATTCCGCCTTCCAGGCAACCATGCTGTTCACAGAGTGCCTGCGCTCAGACTCGCGCCTGCCGAGAGGGGCGGCAAGAAGAGGGGCGGAGGCGAGCAGACGAGGGAGAGCGGGCAGGGAGGCGGAGGAGGGCAAGCACACCGTGACAGACATGGAAGTTTCCCCCGAGATCCGCGCGGATCTCTCGGGGCGGAGTGTTGAGGACGCACAACGGGCAAACCCTGGCGGCCTCACTGAGGGCGAGACCCCATCCTGGTGCTGGCGGCGAGCGTGGGGGGACGTGAGGAGGAGAAGGCCCTCTCAGAAGGGGCGGCGTGGCTTCTCAGAAGACCTCCTGCCTGCTGAGAAGCTGTCTGTGTCTCCCGGGAAAGCTCAGCAAGCCTCTCGGAAGGCAGGGGGACTTCAAAGCCTTCTGAGAATGCCCACCCCTTCTCGCTTCCCCCCTCGCTCGCCGCCGACAGTGGGCGGAAACAAGTAGGCAACAACTCAAACGACTCTGAGTCGCAGCGATGGAGGACGCGTAACGCGTCCGCAGCCTAGAGGGGGGGCGGCGCTGCTGGGCGAATGGTGCACGAGCCGGCGGGAGGTACTAGAAGGCGGCCGATCCAGCAGCCTAGCCATCTGGCGACAGGATTCGTTCGTTCGAGACTCCTAGAGTACCCCAACAAAAAAACATAACATACAACGCTACCTTTTGGAGGTCCGCGCAGATTTCTTGGATCTGAGCTGGACCCCCCTCCCTGGCGCTCCCTGGCGCGCAGAGAGCGCCATAGGGGCGGCACCAGAGGCGCCGCCAGGGGAGGGGGGCCAGCGCAGATCCGAGAAGCCCCCGTGGGCCTCACACAAAGTTTGGGCTTATGCGGTGTTTTGCTCTTCGGGCTCTGGCCGCCGAACCTCTCAACCCACTGGCTGGTGAACGTGTTCTTCGGCGCTCCGACATCGGGCGGCAGGGAGGGGGGGGCAGAGCGGGGGCGTCTGGCTCTGGACCTCTGCATCATGCGACTGTTTGCGGCAGTGCGTCCTGTGGGGGAGACTCCACCTGCCTGGAACAGGCGCCAAAAACAGCCAAGATCTGCTCCAGGGGGGGCCCAGGGCGAGGGCACGCGCCGATCGGCAACACAAGGAATAAGAAAACGACCACCTGCGGCTGGTTGTCCCCTCTAGGCCATTTCTCTTGACTGCTCCAGGGCCCCTCGGACTGGCCCCCAGAGACAACGAGCACGACGAGAGACCACAGGCCCGTCATTTTCTCGCAGGCCTCTGACCGGCCTGGGATGGGATGTGGCCACCACCGGCCAGACCCCCGCGACCACCCTGTGGTAAGACGAAGCCAGGACAAGGACAACATCGGATGAGGATACAGAGGGAGCTCGACCACAAGAAACCTTCCACAAGAAACCCAAACCTGAGACCCCAGGACGTCCATTGGTTTTTGGTGTGGCAACGTCACGCTTTCAATAACAAATCCGTCGAAGCCCAAGAAACCCATGGCACCCTGGAGGCAACCAGGGTGTTTCTTGGCGTGGGCTTTCACTATAAATCAGGAATATAATATGTGAGATCCCGCAGCTCTGGAGGATCTCGGGCGCCGCGGCCTTCTCAGAGCGTCCCGGAACACTCTGAGAGCGTTCCAGAACGCTCTGGAACGGATTGATTCTCGTCCTAGCCCCGTCCGATTCGCTTAGGCCCACAGACTGGACCATGTGAGCGTACCCACGTGGCCAACCACGGCCAGACCCCGCCGATCGGACACCCTATAACTCGTTCAAGACGAAGCCAGGACGAGGATATAATCGGGTGAAGATAAATCGAGAATCTCTGGAATCCCACGGCTCTGGAGGATGTCCGAGGCGACGCGGCCTTCTCAGAGCGTTCCGGAACGCTCTGAGAGCGCTCCGCAACGCTCTGGAACGGATGTATCCTCGTCCTAGCCCCGTCTGGCTGCGACCACCCTATGGACAGGATTCGCTGAGGCCTACGGACTGGACCAAGTGAGCCACGGCCAGACCCCGTCGATCGGACACCTTATATAACTGCCTCCAACAAGAACAAGGAAACCTGGATGCAGGCAAGCAGTTTTGAATCGAAGTGCACGATGGCTTCCCGCTGTGGCGACCCTCAAACAAACGTTCAAGCTCACCCTCTGTGTCCCGCTATGGTGTCGGGAGCTTGCCCTGGCTTCATACAAGCGCGGTAGCGATAACGAATGCGCAAGACAATATGCTAAAAACAACGTGAACCGCATGTACCACGGGTGAGGATATGCCCCACGCCAAACTCCTTGTATGTCAGAAGGCTGTGTAGTGTATGCCCAGTGGTCATCAGAAAAACCATATCGCATTCATTTTCAATGTGCGCTTGATTTAATTATATGACGAAACTCTGGGATACCCCCCAGAAACACACCCTGCAGCTCGGGGGGGAGGCATCTGTATGGAGAGGGACTCCCCTGATGCGCTCCTACGCGACTCTCGCCTGGCCCTCGGAAGAAGAACGTGTGTGCGGATGACAGTAACCTACGAGACCCTCGACTGAATTCACCTCAAAAGGGTTGACGCGCCACTTCAATGTCGCCCCTTTTCACCAATCTGATGCGACTCCCTTCAATGTCAAAGCAAAACGAAACACGGTCTGGACGGGTGCGATTCCGAAGTTCCGCGCTGACCGACATTGACGAGGGGGCGCCAACAAGTACCCTGCGCGCAATGCCACCTAAGGCCAGGACATCACGACGACACGTAAACTGCGTGACACATGTTTGAGGTAAGATTGTAAAGGGCAGTGCCTCGTGGTCGTTTTCAAATTGGTTGGACGTCCGAATCCCACCAGCCCTTTAGGGTGTGAGTGGTTTAGAGAGCCCCCTTCCCCTTCGGGGAGGGGTTTACCCCTCCCCCTACCTCCTCCCCGTGGGCCTGGAGGGGGGGGGGCCGCGGTTCGTTGAAGCGTCGAAAACGGCCTCGGCGAGGAACCCAAAATCATTGGTTGTACGAAAAGGTTTTGGCCCCCTTTGCCCTTTTGGGGAGGGGCCCTATTTGACGCCACACTCCTTTTTGAGTCGTGGCCTCCAGGATGGCCTCAAGAGCGCTCCCAAGGCTCCCAAGAGCGCCTCAACAGGGCCCCAAGAGGCGCCCAAGAGGGCCCAAGAGGCGCACACGAGGCCTCCAAGAGGCTCCCAAGAGACCCCAAAAGGCCCCAAGATGCTCCCTGAGACGCTCCGAGAGACCCCCGGGACCGCCAAGAGGCCCCCAAGACGCAAGAGAGGCCCAAGAATATCCCAAGACGGCCCCAAGAGCGCCTAAGAGTGTCCCAAGAGCGCTCCAAGAAGGACCCTGCCTCTGTGTGCTGCCCACTTCCCTGATCGAGGCAAATCCTCTGGGCATCGTCTCTGGATAGACGTTACTCTTCCCTAGACTGGCTGCTTTAGGATGGGCTGGTGGGGATCCGCAAAGCGTAAATACTTATCTGGAATACTTCTAGTCTGGGGTGATTCCGCTTTGGGCCCTCGAGGAGAGAATATTTAGCTACCCCTGACTGCCCCAAGCCACGATGATTCGCGAGGGTTGGACGCCCGAATTATCCCGGATAACTGCGGTTTGGGGTAACTCAGGTTTGGGCACACGAGGCGCGATTCTGTAGCTATCCCCTGACTGCCCCCAGCCCCGATGATTCGGGGCTCCAGGTCTGTTATGCTTTCCAAGAGCGCACGCAGCTGAGGAGATGCCATGTCCACGCTGAGGGCTGAGTCCCAACACCAGGCCAAGCGACGCGACGGGGGGGGTTCGAGGACCTGTCCAACACGTTGACCCAGCCTATCCGAAGCACACTGGCACAAAGAAATGTCAAGCTCCCCCTCGAGCCTCCAGCCTCTCGCTTCACGGCCGCCGTGGGCGGGGCCGCCCAACCATCAGCTCCGAAAGAGAGGCCAAGTACTCGGGAATCACTGCGCGGCACCACCGGCGTACACATCAGCAACCCGTTTCTTGCACCCCTCCAGGTCCTTCTGGTGGAGTCGGATCGTCTTTGCGCGCCAACTGGAGTGCAAGAACCACTCCGTCTCGGGCACACCCCTGTAGCCGTAGTCCTTGAGCATCGGAAGGATGACTTCTACAGGAGTGCCTGTGCTGTTGAGCCACTCGGGCACGAGCTCGATACACAGGTAGCAGGGCGGGTACTTCGAGAAGAGCTCCTCCGCGCCACGAAGCATGCGGCCCTCGTTACCCTCTATGTCGACCTTCGCGCTCAGAATGGCCCTCATCCTTGGATCCTGGTGGAGCATGGAGTCCAGGGTCGTCAGCGGCACCTCGACCGTGTAGACGCCGGACGCACCAGGTTTGTTCCCGGTAATGTGCGACCCGCCCTTGTTCTTGCCGTCGAGCTGCATGACCACCGAGTTCTCTGGGGTGTCTCCGCCAATGGCGTAGTTGTAGAGGACGACGTTCTCAGCCTTGTTCTCCACGATGCCTGCTCTGAGGTGCTCTGCTATGCTCGGCATGCCCTCGACGGAGATCACAGAGCCGCTGCCCCGGATGCAGTCGGCCATGGGCAGCGTGTAGGTGCCGATGTTGGCACCCACGTCGAGGAAATGCCCCCCCCTCGCGCCCTCCTCGTGCCAGGGGTCGCATAGGCTGGACAGGATGTGGGACTCCCAGTCGCCCCCACCACGCGCAAGCTCGCCCGAGATCCCTCGGTCCCTCTTCGACACGTATCCCATGATCGTGACGTTCCTCCCACCGCGCAGCCCGATCTCCGTCAGTGGCACGATCTTGGACCCACGGCTGTCCCTGGACCCATTGCTGTCGCGCGAAAGCCTGCCATGCGCCAGCCCATCCACCGTGTGCTGGACGTCGTGGAACGTTTCCGGAACAGGATCTGGAACAAATCGGTACTGCGTCCGTTGGTTATCATCGGCGTCGGCGTCGTGCACCTGCAGGCAGAGCGCGGCGGGCCAACAAGTGACCAGCAACACTCGCACAAGCATGTGCAGCCGTGAAAATATCGTACAGTTGGAATCGGCGCTGGTGATGATGGTAAAGTAATGGCCTTCTTAGAACGGTATTGAATCCATCATGTGGAATCCTGAGCCAACACGGAGAACTCGAGCCGATATGGGAGATGCAACGCGGTCGACTGTAGCTCGATTTGGCCGGGGACGATACCGACTCGGCTCAAAATTTGACACGCGCCCGCTGTATTCGGGGAAAGGGTCGGGACGGACGAAAGGGGAGCAGCTCACATACCTGATTTACCGTCGCCTCCTGGCGGTGGGGGCGCTGACATATCAATGTACACATACATGCGTACATACATAATACATATAGATATTCCCCAATCAGCGCTTGCACTGAAGGGATCCTAGCGGAAAGGGGAAGATTTGGCAAAAATTCCCGCCGATTCTGGTAGCAGGCTGGGTTCCCGGGTTCCCGGGCCCGGGTTCCCAGGTTCCCGGTTATTGGCATTGGTTCCGGGCCGATTTCGGTGGGTTCTCGGTTCCCGGGCTCCCGGGTTCCCGGTCGATCTCCTCAGCGAAAACCATCCTCTGCTTGGGCTTCCCTCGGGTGTACTGTATTATATGTGCGTTTATGTCTAAATGTCTATATGCATACGTCTCAAGGAAAGCGCTGGGCGACGGGACCGAAACTAGCTACATGCAACAAATACCGTAACGCACCCTCTCGCTACTCTCGCCTTTCCGTCCGACTCGAAAGGGAGAGGGAGGAGAACGAGGAGGAGCAGCGGCAGGAGCAGAGGGAGCAGCAGGAGAGGAAAAGGGAAGGACGAGAAGGACGTCAATGGTAGAATCGGCTCCGGATATACGCCCCAGGAGTTCGAGTATCTGTCCAGCGGCCCTCGCTCCTGAAGCCCGTGTGGAACGCTGGGAGACAATATGGGAAGTCCTGGAAGCCCTGGAGATCGTGGAACGCATCATATCATCATGACGTTCGGCTACACGCAAGAAAGACCTTAGGCAAGAGTGACCTTTGGTGTGCGGCTTAACCGGGGTCGCGGGGTGGCAACACCCAGGCGCGCAAGCCGCTACCACCGCTTCGCAGTCAGCGATCGGGGGACCCCAGTGGGCCCGCACCAGAAGGTCACTCAGGCGAAAGGTCTAGAGGCCTCCTGGATGGGGTCCGAGTAGATGGGGTGGAGCGCCGAATCGCCGATACATCAGCGATGCATCAGCGATGCATCGGCGACGTCGGCGTCTTGTCGCCGACGTCGGCGTGGAGAAAATCGGGCCCGACATCGAGCCACATCGCCGATGCATCGGCGATGCGGCGCCATCTTCCGGCCCCATGCGCTGCGACCCATCCGGGAGGCCTAGCGCTTCGCGGTCAGCTATTGGGGGGCCCCATAGGGCCCGCACCAGAAGGCCACTCCGGCGAGGGGTCACTCTCGCGTCTGCTCGAGACCTCCTGCGCCTCGGACGTGCGGAGGAGCGGGAGCAGGAGCGGAGAGGCCGGGGGGGGAGGGGGCGCGACGAGCAGGAGCAGAGGCGTGGGACGGGCGTGTGCGGGGGGAGGGTGTCCAGTCCCAGCTCACCCAAACCAGGCCCAGGGGAACGGGAGGAGAGCCCGAAGTGCGGAAGAAGCCCCAGGGGCCAGAAGGGGTCAGCCAATCGCTGACAATAGAACCACGAGCCTGCCCAGGGCCTTCCTCCTCCTCCTCCTCCTCCTCCTCCTCCTCCTCCTCCTCCTCCTCCTCTTCCTCCTCCTCCTCCTTCTCCTACTCCTCCTCGACCCCCCTGGTCCACTCTCCTGGCCCCGACGGGGCCCAGAAGGGAGAACAAGGTTGTGCAAGAAGGCTGCTGTGGCAGCAGGGCAGGCAGAAGTAGGGGCAGCAGGAAAAGGAGGAGGAGGAGGAGGAAAAGAGCAGGAGGGGCAGCAAGAGCGAGAGGGAGTAAGCTGGGCAAAAGCGGTGTCCGTTGGGTGGCAGCATCCGAGCCCTGCCCCCACCCAGCCATCAGTTCTCCATGAGCCGATGGGGGGCGAGGCAATCAGGGGTTCGGAGTTCGCCGCGCGTTCGACAAATTCAGAACCCTGCTCCCGCCGCTCAACGCGTTGCCCGAATCGTTGATCAGCGAGGGTAGGGTTCGGATTTCGCCGCCGAGTCATGATACGACTGGCGCAGGCCACGTTCCAGCAACGCCAGAGTATCTAGCGGCCCTTGTTTCTGAAGCCCGTGCCGAGAATTAGGAACTCTTGTAAACATCTTGGAAATCCTGGAACATCTGATCATCATGGGTTCCGGGTAGATGGGGTCGGAGGATCATGCCGCATCGGCGACGCATCGGCGATGCATCGGCGAAGTTTGCGATGCCTCGGCGCCGACGGCATGGAGAAAGTCGGGCTCCACATCGAGCCGCATCGGCAATGCATCGGCCATGCGGCGCGATGCCCCCATCTAGGAAGCCCAGAGGATCGCGGCCCGCGGCGCGAGGGGCACGCTGGGTGCGGGCAGGGCCCGCATCCGTACCCACTGCGCCTTGGAGCTTCGGGTGCCCGAGCAGCCAGAGGTGCGGTGGACGTGGATGAGAATCTGGCCCCTGGAGTAGAGGCCTCCCAGATGGGGTCGCAGAGCAGATGGGGTCGGAGGATCACGCCGCATCGCCGATGCATCGACGCCGTCGGCGTGGAAGAAATCGGGTTCCACGTCGAGCCGCATCGCCGATGCATCGGCGATGCGGCGCGATCCTCCGACCCCATCTCCTGCGGCTCCATCTGAGAGGCCAAGATGGAGGCTGCACCTTGTACCAATACCCAGTGCGCCTCGGAATTTAGGCGCCCAGTCTCAGGAAATCCAGGACGCAAAGGATATGGATAGGGAAGCCAGAAGGTACCAATACCAACACCGATACTCCCTGGACCTCTCCAGGGGTGCATTCTGTCCAGACTTTCGAGGCGAGTCCAGTAGCGGCGACGAGGGCCTCCCAGGAGGCCCAAGAAGACGAGAACGAGGCACAGGTAGCGGTACGGTGTAGGTCCCTGTCCTCCTCCGAGCTAGGCTTAGGTCGGGCTTGTCCCCCTACAGGGGGATTTTAGGCGAAAAATGAAAAATCCGCCGACACTGTCGGCGTGTGGAATGGGTTGTTCTTCTTGTCCGTGCCTCCTTCCCTTTCCCGCCTTCCCCCCCTCCTTCTCCTCCTCCTCCGCCTCCTCCTCCTCCTCCTCCTTCATCTCTTACTCCTGCGTAAAGTAAATAAACTCGAAAAATTTCCCCTTCCCATTGTTCCCTTCCCCTGCCCGGGGGGGGGGGCCAGGGGAAGCCCGGGGGGGGTCCTGTGGGGGGTCCCGGGGGGGGGTCCTGGGGGGGTCCTGGGGGGGTCCCGGGTCAGAATACCACCTCCCTTCTCCTCCTCCTGAGCGTCTTTTGCCAACTTCTCCATCTCCTTTTCGTTTCTCCCCCTCCTCCTCCTCCTCCTCCTCCTCCTCCTCCTCCTCCTCCTCCTCCTCCTCCTCCTCCTCCTCCTCTCCTCCTCCTCTCCTCCTCCTGCTCCTCCTCCTCTCCTCCTCCTCCTTCCTCCTCCTCTCCTCCTCCTCCTCCTCCTCCTCCGACTCCTCCTCCTCCTCCTCCTCCTCCTCCTCCTCCTCCTCCTCCTCCTCCACACTTTTTTTTTTGGATGCAACATTCATGCCCCTGAAGTGACAGCAGACAGCTGGCACCACAGCCAGAGGCGCACTGCCCGCGCCACAGTCGGGGCCGTGCCCCCGTGGCGCGCTCATAGCGCGAACAGGGCACGCAAAAAAGGAGCCCGTGCTCCGCGTACCCTGATCGGGGTAGGGGGCGCCGGAGCCCGTGCTCCGACGCCCATCCTACCCACCACCTGCTCCACAGGTGGCCGCGGTTTCGGACCCAGGGACCCCCCAGGACCGAACCAAAAAGAAAAACGAAAAAGGGGGACCACGACACGACGCGACACGACGGGGGGACGAAACGAACGACGCGACACGAACGAACGACACGAACGAGCGACACGACAGAGACGAGCCGCCGGCCCCGCCCCAGGGCGGCGAGCGCTGGGGGGGACCCAGCACCGCCCTGGGGGAGGACACGGGGCCTGGCGACCCCCCCGGGGGAAGGAAACCGCACTTTGGCGGCGTCCCCCGGGGTGCGGGGGATTCTCGCCCCTCGGGCCCGGCGCTCCCCGCCTGCGCCAGGAGGACCCTAGGGTCCCGACCCCTCCCCTACGGGAGGGGCCCCCTCGGGGCCTCCTCACACCTCCTCCTCCTCCTCCTCCTCCTCCTCCCCCCTCTCCTCCCCCCTCCTCCTCCTCCTCCTCCTCCTCCTCCTCCTCCTCCTCCTCCTCCTCCTCCTCCTCCTCCTCCTCCTCACACTTCCTCCGCCTACCCTGTCACGTTGTCCTTTAGCTCCTTCCTGTGATCACACATCCCGTCGCCATCGACGGCCAGAGCCTTCAGGGTCGGCGGCACCGGCCGTAAGGCCTTCACAATAATCAAACAATACCCCAGAAGGGTCAAAGATAGTCAAAACATCATCCCCTGACTATGTTTGGACTATTCTTGAGCATTCCCCCTGTAGAGGGACAGGCCCGACCTACAGCTAGGGGCGCGTGCCGTGCACAGGCCAGTGCTCCCAGCGGAGCTGCCGAGGCTGCCCGGGTGCCGGGCCGAGGCCGCTGGGCCTCTCGGGGCGCTGGGGCGGGGTGGGAGCACGCTGGCACGAGCAGCTCGGGGATCTCCGAGGCACGATCTGCGCCACGCACCGATGCCCTCAGAGATTCTGGAGTCCCGAAACGGTGCGGTGACGGGCCGTGCGGTGACGTCGAAATCCCCCAAGACCTCACCGCACGGTCCGTCACCGCACGGTGTTGGGACCTCGGAGGCCCCTGTCGCCCGAGACAGCCTCGGAAAGGGACTCGAGTCCCAAAACCGTGCGGTGACCCCGAATCCCCGCAAACTCACCACACGGTGTAGTCACCACACCGTTTGGGGACAGATGACGGGAACCTTACCCGCCAGTATATCAAAAAACACGACTGGCGTGCACAGTCAAAACGCAGAATAAGGATGCGCGGTAAGGATGCAAGGGCCTTGATGAGCCATGTTGACACTTGTCGAGCGGGGCGCGGCCAGCGAGAGTGGACAAGGATCATCCGAAGGGGAAGGATGCAGGGGTAACCTTGGAAAGTTGCTCATCGTTACTATGCGTTTTGACTGTAAAAGGAACTGGCTCAGGGTGGGAGAACCATCGACTAATAGATCGGCGATGGGCTCTCAACAGCGACTTCGCACGCTCCTGCAGGAGCGTGCGAAGTCGCTGTTGAGAGCGAGAACCCGGGTTCTCTAGGGCGAAGCTGCCGGCAAACAACCTAGCCTTTTCGCTTCGGGTAGCCCTTTGTATGGTTGCGCGCACCAGCACCGCGCACCCAGGTCGGACCCGCGCAAGCGACAAGGTCGGGTTGTCCGGGGAGGGGGGGCCCGATAACCCGGCTTATCCCTGAACCCTCACAACAAACATTCTCCTGCACGCCCAGTGAGAAGACCCTCCCAGTGGATGCCGGTGCGCGGGGCCCAGGAGGGGGAAAGGGCGGCTGCGCAAACGTTCACTGCTGTGGGCTTCTGACATCTGCTCCTGCCAGGAGGGCGCGTGTATCGTGTACGGGCCCTGGCTTCTGACGGGGCGCGCGAGCCGTTCGGCATGGGGGAAGCGGGTGCTGAGGGAGACGGGTCCTGATCCTGGACCTTTAGAGGAAAGAGAACTATGCACATACACCGATTCTGGCCAGGCCCATCCTGAGTCCAGGATCGGTGCATACGCCCTCTTACCTTGGCCAGGAAGGTATATGCACCGATCCTGGGTCAAGGATGGACGTCGTCAGGATCGGTGCATGTGCATAGTTCTCTTTGCCCGAACCTTGGGGCGGGACGAGATCTTCAACCTGAGCCGTGCTCTGACAGTCCCGGGGCGCATGGGGGGGGCCCCGAGAGCCCGAAAACACGGCGAGCAGCCTTTCTTAAGGGCCCGTTCCCAGCAGGACCGGGTTCTAGAGGCCTCCAAGATGGGGGTCCGAGCAGATGGGGTCGGAAGATCGCGCCGCATCGGCGACGTCGACAGTGCATCGGCGACGTCGGCGTGGAGGAAACACGGGCTCCACATCGAGCCGCATCACCGATGCATCGGCGATGCGGCGCGATCCTCCGACCCCATCTACTCCGACCCCACCTAGGATCTAGGAGGCCTACGAATTTCCCCCCGGGGCGATCCGTTCCGCTCGGCGATGTCCGCTGGCGGGCCGCCCCCCGCGGAGGCTGCCGACCCCACCCCTCGCACGGCGGGCCTCGCGCCCAGCGGAGGGCCCCGAGAGCCCGAAAACGGCGACAAACCAGGTTTGTCGCCGTTTTCGGGCTCGATTGCGCCATCCTTCGGCGATAGCGCCATCCTTCGGCGCCACCAAAACTAATTTCAAACAAATGCAAAAATATGTTGTCGGAGCTTCGGTTTTGTTTCCTGGTGGGCGCAAGACCTGACAAACCTCAGGGCCCGTTGCCCTGGGGACCCGTTTTCCACCCAAGGCGTTCGGCTCGACGACCTCCGCTGGCGGGCGCCACCCCTCCCCCCCCCTGGGAGGCTGCCAGAACCCCACCGCTCGCACGGGCCAGTCGCGCGCGCCCACGAGGGGGCCTGCCTTCTCTGGGGGATGCCCCCGCAACGAGGCCCCCCGGGAGGCAGGCCCAAGAGCTTCTTCCGGGCCCCTGGGGCCCAGAACACGCCCCCCGCGCCACCGCCGCCTCCGCCACCGCGCCGAGGGCACGATGCCTCCATCGTGCCCTTCTCAAGTGACTATACCTACCAGCCCACACCAACCTAACCCGACGGCCCAAGTTTCGGAATGGGGGGGCGGTCCACATGTGCTTCTTCTATGTTCCCCGACCCCCCCCCCATTGTAAATCGAGGGGAGAGGGAATTGGGGCCTTCGGGTTGGGTTGGAGTGGTTTGGTGGGTGGTGATCAAGACGAGGCCAGGACGAAGAGAAAAGCACAGGGCGAGAACGAATAGAGAATACCTCTGAGAGCTGGCGGCCCTGGAGGATGTCTCGGACGCCGATGCCTTCTCGGAGCGCTCCGAGACGCTCTCTGAGAGCGTCCCGGCACGCTCTGGGACGGATTCGCCTTCGTCCTGGCCCCGTCCGAACGTCCCTTTGTTTGGGCGCCATCCTCTGGGCCGTCGGTCGCACGCCGCTCCCGCGTCAGAAGCTCGCTCACGTCGAGCGCGGCTGCCTGCTTCACTCGCCGGGGAGACAGGTCGACGCCGAGGGCCCGGAGCCCCAGGAAGTTCGCCACCGCCAGCGTGGTCCCCGCCCCGCAGAAGGGGTCCACCACCAGCCGAAGGCCCGCAATGCGGCGCATCGCCCACTTGAGCACCAGCAGAGTGGCGTTCACGCCCATGCTCGAAGAAGAAACCACGGCATAGACACAAACTTTCGGTGCTCCACGCGGATGTCTTGGATCTGCGCTGGGCCCCCCTCCCTGGCCCGCGGAGCGTGCCAGGGGCGGCGCCGGAGGCGCCGCCCCACCATAAGCGGCACAGCGCGGATCCAAGAAATCCGCGCGGAGCGAGTAAAGTTTATGTTCATGTGGATACTTTCTCCTTCGACATGCACCGCGCGTTGTTCCGTAGCTGCGGGGGCTTGCGCCCGCGCGCCACAACGTCGGGTATGCTGCTCCCGAAGTCCGCCCGGCCGTCTGGCCACACCGCGGCCAGGGGCCCGTCGTTGCGCACCAGGCACAGCAAGTGGGTGTACTGGAGGAGGGGGGGCAGGGGGAGGGGGAGGGGGAGGAGGAGGAGAAGGAGGAGTAGGAGGAGGAGGAGGAGGAGGAGGAGGAGAAGAAAAAGGACGAGGAGGACGAGGAGGGGGAGGAGGAGCGGAGGAGGAGGAGGAGGAGGAGGAGGAGGAGGAGGAGGATGTTGGAGGAGGGGGGAGGCGGAGGACGGAGGAGGAGGAGGAGGAGGAGGAGGAGGAGGAGGACGAGGACCGCTCGCTCGCCACGCTTGCTTTCCGCGCCGTCGTCGCCCGCTCCAGAGGGCCCCCGGCCTGGCCACGCGGGAACCCGGGTTGTCCGGATTGTCCGGGGGGCGTGGGGGGGCGACAGACTGACCGATAGGATAGATCGGCGATGGGCTCTCAACAGCGACTTCGCACGCTCCTGGGCGGGGTGGGCTATCGGGTCGGGCCCCTATCGGCGATGAGTGGGCGATTGGGGGTCCATGCATCGCCCCCCTGAGCCTATCCCCCCTTGGAGATCCTTTTAAGTTTTTTGGCGAGAGCCCGGGTTCTCCGGGGGGGAGCTGCCGGCAAATAACCTAGCCTTTTCGCTTCGGGTAGCCCCCAGTATGTCCGCGTGCACCAGCACCGCGCACCCAGGTCGGACCTGCGCAAGCGACAAGGTCGGGTTGTCCGGGGGGAGGGAAGGGGGGAGGGCAAGCTAGGTGCGCTCGCGTCATACTAGACGTCATACCCCTCCCTCCCATCCCTTACCAAAGCGTAGATCTCCTCTCTATTCGCAGTCGGTCGGTGTCGTAGCAGGGCGTAGCATTACATGGCATAGCATGGTGTTGAAGATCAACGCGTAGCCTGACTTAGCACGGCGTGGCGACGTCCCAAAGAGGGTGGGGGGGGGCTTCTGCGGCACAAAAAATCAAGGAATCGGCACCGAATGTGTAATCACTTCCGATGGTGGTTTCGGGGGGCATTTTCTAGACTATGGCCTATGTGGATGGACCGAAAACACTGCCGTGGCATGGCGCTGGAAATAATGACGCCGAGGCTGCAGCGGGAGCACGATTCGGAACGAGCGGAAGCGTGGAAATGAGGCCAGCGCTGCAGCGGGAGCGCGATTCGGAACGAGCGGTAGCCCGAAAATGATGCCAGCGCTTCAGCGAGAGCAGCATTTTGACAAGAAACCCTTGCGAAAACCCGTTTGCCGGGAATCCTGTGTAAAAAAACAATACGCGGAGGGGGGCCGAACATTTCCCAGACGTCACCAGGGGAGACAGGAGAGTAGTATTCATATTGTGTAATTGTGGAGGGGGGCGGAGGGAGGGGAGGGAGGGGGAGAGGGGCGGAGGGAGGGAGAGGAAGGCCCCGCATCATCGCTGTACCCAACAACAACAACAACAACAACAACAACAACAACAACAACAACAACAACAACAACAACAACAACAACAACTAGTACAGGAAGGGGGGTACGTGGAGTGGGAGAGGCTTCTTAGAAGGAGGCTGGTTATTAGAAAGCGCCTGCCCTGCATCGACAGATAAAGGCCCGCGCCGTCTAAGAAGCGGAATGCTTCTAAGAAGCTTCTCCCCCTCCCCTTACCGCCCTAATCTGCGCGTGGCCGATAGTCTCCTGCAGGCCGGAGACCGAGGGCTTGTCGACGTTGCCGAAGTGGACCACCTTGTGCCAGCGCAGGGACACGCCCTGCACCTCCGAGGCGGCCCGCAGTACCAGGTAGCTCTTGCTCACCTTCGGTGGCAACTCAAGGGAGCCTCCCATAGCATCGTGCTGGCATCTTGCGAATCGGTGCTGACCGACGCGAATCGACGGTTGTCAAAGCTAATCGGCGGTAGTCTGTACGCATGGGAGCCTCCCATACTGTTTTGCTGGCTCGTGCGGATCGACGCTGACCGACACTAACCGACGCTCATCAACACAGCGTTAGATCGGCGCTAGTCGACGCAAGTATACGCTAAGTCGGCGCCAGCTCATCGATTACCAAACTCTGTTCGACACAACGCAGTCTGACGACGGAATTGCGAGGACATCCAGAGCTCCCATGGCTTGCTCACCTGCGCGGCGAGAGCAAACGGGTCTTACGCGAGAAGACGTAGCGACCTTACGCGGCGCCTTAAGCAGGCCGCCAGCGCGGCTCGCTGCCTTGCAAACGAGGTGTGCTGACGGCTTACGTGCGACCTTACGCGGGCACAGCTTGTGCTCCAATGTCAGCGTAGTCGACCCCGCTTTTTTGCCTCACTCCCCGTCGGAGACCTACTGACCCGGGCCAATCAAGGACCTGGTTCAGTCAGGCTTTGCGGGATCCTGCAAGATCCAGCAGGATCCTGCAGCACCCAAGCCCGGGTCAGTGCGCCCGTGGCCCTGCAGGACCATGCGGGATCCGGCGCTCTGGCCGACCGCCGTTGCCATGGACCCCCGTTCCTTGAGCCCCGACCGCGGCTGCCTCGACAGGCACCCAGGGGGGATCGAAGATGAGGATCGAGGATCGAGGGCTCGCCGATCGAAGGAGGGTCGATGGAAGAGGGTCGAGCATCGATGTAGAGAAGAATCGAGGATCGAGTGGACGGAGGGGAGGATCGCGTAGCATCGCCGATGTCTCGGCGATGCAACGGCGACGCTCACCTGCCGCTCAACTTCTCCTCCTCCTCATCCACCTCCTCCTCCTGCCCCTCCACCTCCTGTTCTTCCTCCGCCTCCTTCTCCATCCTCTTCCTCCTCCGCCTCCCCCCTCCACCTCCCCCTCCTCCTCCTCCAAATCCTCCTCCTCCTCCTCCTTATCCTCCTCCTCCTCCTCCTACTCCTCGCGAGATTCGGCCTCTCTGCAACCCGAACGACATTTTACAACCGAGATAGGTCACTTCACAACCAGTAAAGGATGGAATTCCATGGTTTCCTTTGAGAACGACCACTTTACAACCAGGGCAACCCATTTTACAACCAGAGCGTCTACTTTACAACCCAGACGGGGCTCTTTACAACCAGAGCGGCCACTTTACAACCAGCCTTCCGAAGCGCGCGGGCGTTTCGCAAAGCCTTCTGAGCCTTCTGGACGCCTGGGCGCTGTGCAGGGGCATCTGGGCGCCTGAGCGCTTTGCAAAGGCTTCAGAGGCTTCAGGGAGCCTGAGCGTTCTGCAGAGGCTGCAGAGGCTTCAGAGCGCCTGAGCGCTCTGCAGAGGCTTCCGAGGCTTCAGAGCGCCCGAGCGCTCTGCAGAGGCTTCTGAGGCTTCGCAGCGCCTAAGGGCTCTGCAGAGGCTTCTGAGGCTTCGAAGCGCCTGAGCGCTCTGCAGAGGCTTCTGAGGCTTCTGAGCGCCTGAGCGCTCTGCAGAGGCTTCTGAGGCTTCAGAGCGCCTGAGCGCTCTGCAGAGGCTTCTGAGGCTCCTGAGCGCCTGAGCGCTATTCAGCGGCTTCTGAGGCTTCAGAGCGCACGAGCGCTCTGCAAAGGTTTCTGAGGCTTCGGAGTACGGGTTTCTCGTACTGTCCTTGCTTTTGTGCCCCGGTCTAGACAAACACGCGCCTCCAGCCGGCGGCATTTGTGCAGCCGATGTGTCGTGCAGACACAACTTCATTGATTGATTGATTGATTGATTGATTGGTTGGTTGATTGGTGGATGGATTGATTGACTGATTGATTCGCAGATTGATTGATCGGCCGATTGATTGACTGATTGCTTGTTTGATTCATTGAGGACCTCCGAAACAGAACGTCCCGGAGCCCCCAGACGCCCCCCACTCGGCGGTGTAGTTTGTTTGTTCCGTTTCCAAGATGCGTTTTTGGGACCCGGGGGACCTCCACAAATGGACCACCGTTTTTGGAACCCCCCCTTGCGCCTCTGGCTGGCGGCACCTCTTCAGCCGATGTGTCGGCACTCCGCCCTCCTCGGCACCCCTCGACACTCCACCCTCCTCGGCAGTAGTCGACACCCCACACTCCTCCACCCGCTTCGGCACTCACCCTATCCTCTTCGGCACCTCTCGGCACTCCGCCCTCTGCGGCACTCATCGGAGAGGGGGGGGAGGAGGCGGAGGAGGAGGAAGAGGAGGGAAAAGAGGAGGAGGAGGAGGAGGAATGGGGACGAGGAGGAGGAGGAGGAGGAAGAGGAGGAGAGGCAAGAAGAAGAGGATGAGGATGAGGATGACGAGAGGGCGGAGGAAGTGGGCCGCCTTGCGGCTGCTACTGCCGCGTTGCGCCTCTCTGGGGCTCTCGGAGGGCCTCTTGCGGGAATTGTACCAACGAATTTTTGGCCACATGTGCACCCTCCTGGGTACGCATGCTTCTGCGAATGCGACAACAGAAGGTTTTGCTATAGCCTTGCGTTGAGGCCAATGCAAAACAAAATCCATCCGTATGCGTTGGTTAGAATTCAACAAGCGGTTCCTTACATTTCCGCCTTCCTGGGTACGCATGCTTGCGCTATTGCGAAAACATGCGCATTTGCTATTGCCAGACGATGAAGCTCGAGGTTAACCACGGCCTATGATGGAAAAAACACATTGTATAACCCACACGCGGTGGCCAAAATTGTACACGCGATTTCTTGACCACATTTCTGTACTCCTAGGTGCGGCAGCTTCCGCGAATGCGAACACCTGCGGTTTTGACATTGCCAGGCGATGAGGCGCGAGGACAAACATTGCATGCGAGGCCAACGATCACACATTGATATCCACACGCAGTGGTTCGAATGTTGCCATCGATTTCTTGGCCACATGTCGTTTTTCCTGGGCACGCATGCTTCCGCAATTGCGAAAGCACGGTGCTGTCAGACGATGAAGCGCGAGGACAAACATGGTGTACGAAACAAGAAACCAACACTTTGACATCCACACGTAGTGGCTCGAAGTAACCAAAGATTTCTTGGCCGCATTTCCGCTTTCCTGGGTACGCATGCTTCCGCACACGCGAAAACAGACGACTGTGCAATTGCCGGACGATGAGGCACGGGGGCAAAACATCTCGATGTTGCAAACAACTATATGACATCCAATGTGTTGGCTAAAAATTCACCGACGGCATCTTGGTCACAGTTCGGCTTTGCTGGGAGCGCGCGTGTTCCTCCTCGTCTTTGCGGCGAACGCCCACGGTCCTGCGATTGTCAAAAGAAGCTATATTTTCAGGCAGAGGTTACGAGGCTCCAAACATCGAAGTAGATACAAGGCATAGATCGAACAATGAGGTTTTAAAGCGCCCAGGCCTGTCACCAGTCTGTAGCGGGAGGATGTCCATTGGATATCGATTAGGTTCCGCTAGCTCCTCTTGGATGCCACAAGGATAACACTAGGACGCCAATCGTGGTACAGTATGGTTCAAAGAGGAAAAATTCATGTTGGGTTCCAGTTGGGGCCCCATTAGCACACCCGTATGGATCGAAAAGGAAGGATTCCGATTGGGCTCTAGTGCAATATCCTTCGCGTTCGCCTAGTACGGTCTCAATACGGTTCCTACGGTCTCAATACGGTCTCAAAACGACCCCGGCAGGGTTTCCATATATTACCCCATTGCGTGTCCCGCAAAAGTCCTATAGGAAGGTTTTTCGGGTGTAGTCCAATGTGATTCCCAAACGGTTTCCATTCGGAAAGGCCCCAACGGGGTTCAATAGGAAGCATTCCGATCGGATTCCGATAGGACAGCCGTAGGCCCCATAGCTAAAACATCGTGGTGGATACCAATGAAATGGTATTCATATGGTGCCAACCGGATCCAAGTGGGAAGGGTGCCAATAAGATTCAAATGTGATTCGTGTTGGATCTCATGAGGAATCCGCCACTTCACAGATTCTCACTTCAGACAAGCCACTTTACAACCAACACGCTTCAGAGAGCGAAGTCTCTCCCTTGCGTGGACCCACAGATATTTCGGACATTAAAGAGCATGTGCCGCGTATGTGTGTTCACTTGCCTGGTTGTGAAGTGGCATTCCTGGTTGTGACGTGCCCTTCTCGGAAAATCCATGCTGGATGTAAACTGCCCCATCTGGTTGTAAAGTGGCCGCTCTGGTTGCAATGTGACCCGCAGGCCTTCCTCCTCCTCCTCGACCTCCTCCTCCTCCTCCTCCTCCTCGACCTCCTCCTCCTCTTGCTCCTCCTGCTTCTCCTGTCTCCTCCTGCTCCTCCTCCTGTTCCTCCTCCTCTACCTCCTCCTCCTCCTCCTCCTCCTCCTCGTCCTCGTCCTCCTCCTCCTCCTTCTCGTCCTCCTCGTCTTAATAGTAGTACTGATATTGTGATTAGTCGTCTTCCTATTCTTCATTCTAGTATTCGTACAATGTATACAGTAGTTGTGATGTGGTTGCTTTCTTGTTATGAGTACGACTATCAGTATTACAAGTCGCCGTTTGGTATTCATGTCAAGAATGTTCGCCTCATGCGTCATAATGTTCGTATTCCTAATATGAGCCGTCGTATTGGTAGTAGTGTCCGTGGTATTCGTTTTCGTGATAGTGTTCCTATCTCGAGTACAAACTATCTGTTATGGGCGTTAACCATTAATTGTATTACCAGTAGGATGCTTCGTATTCGAAATATGATGTTTCTTCTACGTGGCAGTATGCCTGCTGATCGTATGTGTCACATGTTCCTTCGTACTTCAGTACCAATAGTAGTATAAGTGATTCGTCTCTGCATGGTTTCATTATTATTCGCACTTCTAACACTCGTATTATTAGCTTTCTTGATACTCTTTTTTCGACCAAGATTAGTAGTGTTATTATTATGCGTAGTTCTTATTAGTATTGTTGCGTTTCGTGCTCCTCCTCCTCTTCCTCCTCATCCTCCTCCTCCGCTTCCGCCTCCGCATCCGCCCCCGCCTCCACCTCCTCCTCCTCCCCCTCCTCCTCCTCCTCCTCCTCCTCCTCCTCCACGTCCTCCTCCTCGCTGTCCTCCTCCTCGGCCTCGTCCTCGCCCTCGTCCTCGTCCTCCTCCTCGTCCTCCTCGCGGATTGTTACTCGATACACAGAGTGCCACACAAGCACAGCACCCTGCAAAGAAAAGATTACACCAATGCCCCCGCCGCCCGTAATTCACGGCCCGAGGGTGGGAGAGCGCTGGGGTTCGAAATTTGTAAGGTCCGCGCCTGGCAGGAGCCTCCGTTTGAGCTTCCTGCTCTCAGACGACACCTTCCCGTCGCAAGGGTTTCTGAGCTTGGGCCCGCTGCGCAAGTGCTAAAGGCACCGCAAGCGGCGCAGTGCACCACAGCGACCCCAGAGCCGATGACCCGAGCAACGTGGAGTTTGTGGTGGCTCCTGGGGCCCGACAACAAACTCTCGAGCGACGGGCTGAGGCCAGAACACTCAAGGCTGAATGCACATTGCACATTGCGCCTGCGCTTGCCATCGTGTCAACTTGGAAGGTGCGGGCCGATGCGCATGAGGAGTCGGCGCTTAGGACCACCCTGGACACGACCCAACTCCCCCAACTCGCCAAAACCGGGCCACTCCCCAAGCACCTCCCCATCACCGTGAATTAGGGACAGGAGAAAGTGAGTCGTCTGAGTGATACGATCACCGACAGAGCTACCGTTAAGCGTGGAAGCGGGCGGCTAGTCCTGCGTGGTGGTCGGCCAGGCGGTTCCCCCTGCAGAGGGTCTTGAGTTCTTCAATGGGTCGTTCGTCTTGAGAGGGGCGAGGCCGTCAGGGCAGTGGCCGGCGGTCTCCCTCCACACGTGGGCCTGTACGTCGGCCCCGGGCAAAGCCGACGGGCAAACGGCCAACGCTTTCAGAGAGGCGTGGCACAGTCCACAGGTCGGCGGCCCGCGGCGCACTTTTGTCCTGGCTGCACACGCGAGGCAAAAAAAAAGACCGCACCGCGCTCTGCGGCCCCACCGCTCCGCGTCGTGGTGCGGGGGAGCGGGCTGCGCAGCCCGCGAAAGGAGATCTCCAGGCTCGCCCACCTGGACCACGCTGACACCCACCCAGGAGAGGCGGCTGAGGTGAGGGTAGAGGCAATATCCATCGGTGAAAAGGTTGGCGCCTGAGGGGAAACCAAGCAGGGCAACATCTTGCCCGTCTTCGCCAGAGAAGGTCACCTGCCAGTTCGTTAGGAGGCTCACTGCTTGTATCAGGGCGGGAAAGCCACCCTCTGCTGTACAGTAAGGATGTGGGCCACTCCACGATAGCAACTCTGACCAGCTCAGGGGGAAAAACTGTTTCCCTGACGGCAGAGGCTCGAGGGCAGCTACTCTTCCAAGCTCTGTGCCAGGGGGTGTCTTCCTCCCCGCATCTGTCGCACTGAGTTGGACCTTGTATCCCCCCTTGTTCAGCACCGAGCCCGTGAGGAGAGTCCCGCAAAAGAGCTGACGAAACTTGACCTTCTCGTTTTGGCTTAGGTACACGTTGCGAGACGTGAGCAGCGTGCGCGTTAACTCCCACCACAAGCCGAAGGCCTAAAGATCAGCCGTGTTGTGCGGGGACCTAGTGCAGGCCGGTTTGGCAAGGTCTTGAACATACACATCCTTTAACTGGTAAGCAAGATTCTTCGCAACAAGCTAGGGCGACACTTCCGTAGAATGTAAATTGGCACCAAATCGGTCCACCAAGATCCCAAGGCCCTGGGTGCCCCAACGGGTTCCGCAATTCAGAGAAAAGGCGTCCGACAAGGGCCCGCGGGTCCTGAAAAACCACATCTTGCCCTTGGAGTTGGAAGCTGTTCCTAGGGTCAACTGCCGGGCTCTGGCGAGGCTGGCAGGGGACAAGGCGTCACGCTGAGGCGCCTCAGCTGAGCACACTGGGGTAGACATCCACCATTCAGCAGCCATCCTCCCGACTGCCTGAAAAGCAATACCAATGGGATCGGACAGGCTGCAACTACTCGAAGCTAAATCGGACTGAACTCCTCTGAAAGAACCTCATCCGTCTCTTCCCGCCTGCGCACGCACCTGCCTGATCTGGTGGGGGCTGAAAGAGTGGACCTTAAGTGAAGGAGGGTTCGAGGTAGGTATTGCGATGTCATGTGTTCAACTTCATCCGTATAATCCGAGCACATCCTGCTCCTCTTGCCCCTGCTCCTCCTCCTCCTCTTCTTCGGCCCCTATGTCAAAAATTACTAGTACAGTCTGAGTATTAGTATTCGTGTCCGTCTGAGTCGTCTCATTTGGTAGTAGCATCATTCGTCGTATTAGTATCATCCATATTACCATTCGTCTTGCTATACTCATTCGTCGTCGCCCGAGTGTTGATATTGTTATACAGCTTATACATATGCTTATGAAATGTATGTTATTCGTATGATTATTACGCGAAGTATCCTTCTGACTAGTATGTGTCTGATTCCTCTCTGTAATGTATTAGTATCATTATTGTTAGACGGACTCGTCTTCGTGCTCTATTCATATCATTATGATTATGAGTATTCGCGTAAGTAGTCTTACTAGAATTATTCGTCACACTATGATTAGGATTGTTCGTAGCACGCTTCCTTTTCACTACTATGTTTCTTGCTCGTACTATCCTTGATATGAGAATTAGTAGTATCCCTCCTCCTCCTCCTCTTCCTCCTCTTCCTCCTCCTCCTCCTCATCTTCCTCTTCCTCCACCTCCTCATCCTCCTCCTCATCATCATCCTGCAAATTCTGGAGCACCGACGCTCACCTGCCGCCCCTCCTCCGGGAGCCGCACGTCCGTCTGGTAGAACACCGCCGCGCCCCCAGTGGGCAGCGCGCGGAGCACCGCGCGCACGGCGCCCTGGAACCAGGCCGCCCAGGCCTCGAGGCCGCCAAGGCGGAGGGAGGAGGAGGAGGAGAGGAAGGGAGGAGGAGGAGGAGGAGGAAAAGGAGAAGGAGAAGGAGGCGAGGAGGAAAAGAGGTAGAAGTCGGGGAAGGAGGAGGAGGAGCAGGGAGCAGGAGGAGGAGGAGGAGGGGGAGGAGGAGGAGAGGAGAAGGAAGGGGAGGAGGAAGAGGAGGAGGAGCAGGAGGAGGAAAAGCAGGAGGAGGAGGAGAAGGAGGAGGGGAGGAGGACGAGAAGGAGGAGGAGGAGGAGGTGGAGGAGGGAGAAGGAGGAGGGAGAAGGAGGAGGAGGGAGCGGAGGAGAGAGAGGGAGGAGGAGAGGAGGAGGAGGAAGAGGAGAGGAGCAGGAGGAGGAGATGAGGAGGAGGAGGTGGAGAGAGGGAGGAGGAGGAGGAGGAGGAGGAAGAGGAGGAGGAGAAGCAGCAGCAGCAGCAAGAGCAGGAGGAACAGGATGAGGGTGGAGGATGGAGGAGGAGGAGGAGGAGGAGGAGGAGGAGGAGGAGGAGGAGGAGCAATCGGAACAATCGCAAAGTGATATCAAATTCTACATCCCATTCTCTCTCCCCGAGCGCCGAAAGGGGCCAGAGGCCGAAGAACACGAAACGGAGGCAAGACATTCAATGATGACGCCATTGCCGCCGCAGCCCATCGCGCCACATGGCGAAGTCGATGACCAGAGCCGCATAGCAGAGGCCACGAAACGAGAGATGCCTAGCAACACCCTCTGCTGTACCAGTGTCCCGTGCACAAACGTCCAGCCGACACAACCATACGCATGTGCATCAACTTCGCTTGCCATTGTCCATGGTGGGCGCGGCCGCAGGCGGAGCAGACGGCGGGCCCGCTGCTGCAGCCGTCTCGGCCGCGGCCACCGAAAAGCCCTGGGGCATGGCCCCCACGTCCATCCAACGACGCAGCGGGTGGCCGTGTCCCAGGGGGGCCGAGCAGCGAACGATGGAGGCCGATCGGCACCGCGGATGGCATCGACGTCACGCATGAGCCGCGCCCGCTCGGCACCGGCGCACCCGCTTGCTGCCGCACGCGGCTCCTGCGCCCCCGTGGCCTCGCCGACCGGCCCCGCAGCAGCTCGTTCCTCAAGACGAACTTCACCGGTGGACGAAAAGGCTGCGTCCTCCGACCCGCGGCGCTGAGCGGCTCCCGCGGCCGCGAAGCGCAGCAGCTCCTCCCGTCGCTCCAGGATGCACTGCGCGGTCGGACTCGGCGTCGGGCTCTGCACCGGAGACGTCGCTCCGCAGGCACCTGTGCTCGGCCGCCGCCGCCGCCGGCAGCCGCATGCCACCCTCAGAGCCTTCAGCTGCGCCCTCGGCGCGTCGGGCTCGGCGTCGGGCAAAGCGTCGGGGTCGGAAACCTCCACAGAAGCGCCAGCGGAAGAGACCACGAACGGCTCCTCCGCGCTTGTGGAGGCGATGGCGCCACAGGTACAGCGTACTCCGCACGCGACGCCGTGCTCTGGCGGCACAAACTCCCAGCGGCCCGCCACTGGGACGAAGTCAGCCGCCGCCGCGCGCATCCGCGCGGGGAGTGCCCAGGCGGGAGCTCGGTTCCGCAACCTCGCCCCGCGGCACGCGACGGGCCCCGTCGCCCGCCGCCTTGACGGCCGTGCCCTCCAGCAGCTCCGCGTGGGGCACGCTCACGAGGCTCGCGAGCTCCCGCGAGGCATCCCCAGGCCTGTGCCTGTGGTGCCCCAAACGCTCCTCAAGGTGGCGGCGCCAGGGCAGCGCCCTCCCCAGGGCCTCCAGACGCGCACTCATGTCCAGGATGAGGTCGCTGTCGAGGTCGAGATTGTGGACGGCCACATGGACCGCACTGGACACCAGATAAGCGTCATCCTGCTGAGCGTTGCCTACTCACGCACGGGCTAACGGCCCCGCAGGTCTCCTGTAGCCATCCTTATCAAGAGGGCACGAACAACACAACGAAAGCCTCCGGTTGAACCAGTCGTGACGTATCACCTTGCCAGCTCGAGCAATGGGGCTGTCGCACGCTGTTGTGCGGCTTGTGCCAACATGGCTACGGAGGAAGAGGAGGAGGAGGAGGAGGAGGAGGAGGAGAAGGAAGGAAGAGTAGGAGGAGTAGGAGGAGGAGAAGGAGGAGAAGGGAGGAGGGAGGAGGGAGGAGGGAGGAGGGAGGATGGAGGCGGAGGAGGAGGAGGAGAGGGAGGCGGAGGAGGAGGAGGAAGAGAAGGAGGCGGAGGAGGAGGAGGAGGAGGAGGAGGAGGAGGAGCCCGGGGACGCAGTGTCCCTCCCTACGCCCACGAGGAGGCCCCTCCCCCCTGCAACCCCAGGCGAGGGCCCCGAGGTCCCATCCGTCAGGACCTTCTGGGCCGCCAAGAGCAGCCCTCGGAGCACCCTGGGGCGGGGGTCGCAGGAAGCTCGCGCAGAGCCAGCGGCCCTGGACCTTCTCCCAAGAGTGCTGACCTCGACTGAGCGCAGTCTGGGGACGAGTCTGGCCCGGCGGATGGGTGCGCTCGACCCGTTCTGAACGCCAAAGATCTCGGGAGGTCGTGGCCGTGAGAGCCCGACACGCCCGTCGCCGGACAGGGGCAGCGATGGCATCCCACTCGTAGGTCCGAGGCTGGAGGAGGAGGAGGAGGAGGAGGAGGAGGAGGAGGAGGAGGAGGAGAAGGAGGGTGCCCAGGCCTCGATGGTGGGGGCCACCTCTTGCACCTCTAGTGGACTCCCGGATGGGGCCCCAAATGGGGGAGGTCGGAGGATTGCGCCGCATCGCCGATGCGTCGGAGACGCATCGGCGGCGTCGACATGTGGAACATCGGGCTCCACGTCGAGCCACATTCGAGGAACAGAGAACGGCATCAACAGACATGTTGCAACTCCACGCGGATTGTCTGGATCGGCGCTAGACCCCCTCTTCCCGGCGCGCGGAGCGCGCCAGGGGCGGCGTCGGAAGCGCCGCTGGGGGCGGGGGGCCAACGCCGATACAAGAAATCCGGGCGGAGCTCCAGAAGCGCATGTCCAGTAGGAGGCCTGGAGATGGGCACCAGCACCAACACCAGGGCCTGCCCCAGCCGGGGGAGGCCGATCCCAGAGCTTGGTGCCGGTGATGATCTGTCGGCCACCGTGAAGCCCGAGCCTTACCGCCATCACCGAGGTCGGGACCATCTTCCCTCGGTGGGCGCACGCCGCCGATACTGGTGCTGGTGCCAACCTCTGTATGGGGAAACGAAAAGGTACCAATACAGATACTCCCTGGACCTCTCCCAGGGTGCGTTCTGACCAGGATTTCGAGGCGCATCCGACGGTGGCGACGAGGGCCTCCGAGGAGGCACCCAAGAGTGGACATCGAGGAAAATGGTGGAGGTATGGGTACCTGTTCCTCCTCTGGCTGCAGGCCTGCGGCCTGTGCCGCTGTTTGGTCCTTCGGCGCATCGCCGAGGCATCGAGGCGCCGGCGCGATCCTCCGACGCCCACCAGCTCGGACCCCATCGGGAAGGCCCCGCACCTCGCAGGCGTCGGTGGCCGTGGTCGCCCAGGCCGCTCCGAGGGGCCACGGGGGGGCGGGGTCCCTGCAGGGAGCCCCGGAGGAGGAGGAGGAGGAGGAGGAGGAGGAGGAGGAGGAGGAGGAGAAGGAGGAGGACGGGGAGGAGGAGGAGGAGGAGGAGGACGAGGGGAACGAGGAGGAAAGGAGGGAGGACGAGGAGGAGGGGTTCGTGTGGCGTCGGCACGCGGCAAAGTTTTTGACACCGCTTCGTCGCTCAACGTTGAATCGATTGCGGCCCCGATCGATCCATGTCGAATCCAGTCGGGTCCAGCGGCGTTACCGCGTCCATCGGTGCATGCGCGCCGCAGACCTCAACCCTGAACGCATTCGCTGGCGTCGCTGGCGCGCCAACGAGGCATGAACCTGCTGCACACGAACAGGCCCCCCAGTCCGCGAGACCAGCCCCTGTGGGGAGCCCCACCTGAGGCCCCAATGGTAGCGCCCGCATGCCGCCGCCACCCCACTTTGGCGCACCCCTCAAAGGTTTCACAGCCCCAGGCCCCATAGCGATCTCCACCGAAGGCCCCAGTGCCTGCGCCCGCATGCCGCCGCCACCCCACTTTGACACACCCCATCGCACGCTTCGTGGCCCTATGGGGAGCTCCACCTAAGGCCCCAGTGGTTGCGCCCGCCTCTGCCGACATCCCACTTTGGCGCCTCCCTCACGTTCTTGGTGGCCCCATTTGGAGCTCACAGAATAACCGCCTGCAGGCCGCCGCCGCCCCACTTTGGCGGACTCCTCAAACGTTCCGTGGCCCCTTAGCGAGCTCCACCTAAGACATCAGTGGTTGCGCCCGCGTGCCGCAGCCACCCCACTTTGACGCAACCCTCATACGCTCTGTGGCACCACAGGGAGCTTCACTCAAGGCCCCCAGTGGTTGCGCCCGCATGCCACCGCCACCCCACTTTTGCGCATCCATCATACGTGTCGTGGCTCCATGGGGATCCACCGAAGGCCCCAGTGGCTGCGCCCGCCCCTGCCGCCACCCCACTCTGGCGCAGTCCTCACACGTTTCGTGGGCCCATGGGTAGCTCCACCTGAGGCCCCAGATGTTGCGCCTGCAGGCAGCCGCCGACACACTCTGGCGAACCCCATCGCACGCTTGGTGGCCCCACAGGAAGCGCCCCCTAAAGCCCAAGCAGCTGCGCCCGCGTGCCATCTCCACTCCACTTTGGCACATCACTCACACGCCTCGTGGCCCCGTAGGGAGCTCCACCTATGGCCCCAGTGGTTGCGCCTGCATGCCGCCGCCGACACACTTTGGCGCCTCCCTCGTAGGTTGCGTGGCCAAAAGGGAGCTCCACCTAAGGCCCAAGCGGCTGCGCCTGCACGCCATCGCCACCCCACTTTGGCACACCCCTCCCACGATTCGTGACCCTGTAGAGAGCTCCACTTAAGGCCCCGACGATTGTTCGCATGTCTTCTCCAGACCATCCCTCACACGTTTCGTGGCACACAGGGAGCTGCACCTCACGGCCCCAGTGGCAAGAAACGTATGCGTGACAGCCCCCAGTTCGGCACATCCCTCACACGTGGCCACATCAGGAGTTCCACCTCAGGCCTCACTGGCAGGAAACGCATGCGTGGCCGTGTCCCTGTCGGCACACCGCCCACACGTTTCATGGCCCCAATGGCTGCGTTCGCATGCCTTCTCCAGACCATCTCGGCACACCCCGCATAATTACGCTTCGCGACCCGATACGGAGCTCCGCCGAAAAAAACGACCGGCCCGAACCGCATGCGTGACCGCGCCCACGTCGGCGCGCTCCTCGCAGGTGGCCCCACACGGAGCTCAACCTGAGACCCAACTGGCAAGAATCGCACGCGCGGCCGTGCCCCTTTCGGCACACCGCTCCTACGCTTAAGTCGGGCCTGTCCCCCTATACAGGGGAATTTTCGACGATATATATATATATATATATATATATATATAAATCAAAAATACCCCAAAATGATCCAAATACTTAAACAATAATCCCCAGACTATTTTTTACAATTTTTGAATATCCCGCCGACTTAATCCTACGCTTCGTGGCCCCGTGGGGAGCTCCGCAGGAGGCCCCGTGCGGCGGGAACCGCGTGCGCCACCGCGCCGCTCGCGGCACGCCCCTCGCACGCTCCGTGGCCCTCGCCCGCCTCGCTGCCCCGCCGCCGGGCTGCACACCGAGCTGCGGCCCGCTGCGGCGGAGCCCTGCGGACCCCTCCGCAGCAGCGTCGCCCCGTCCTTCTCGCGCACGCCTCGGCCCTCTTGCTGGCCCCCCCCCCCCCCTCGGCTTCCGCCTCTCGGCGCGTGGCCCCTCGGGACGGCCGACCGACCACGCGTCGGGGAGCGACGTCAGCACCAGCGACCCGTCCGGGAGCGACCCGGGCCTCGGCAGCCACTCCAGCGCGTCCGCGCACACCACCTCCCGCATCGCCGGGCCAGGCCCGCCCTGGGGAGGCTGGGCAGGCTGGGGCCGTCGGGCCCCCAATCGGCGATCCATGGGCGATTGGGGATCGATGCCTCTCCCACCCTGAACCTGCCCCCCGCCCAGACGTTGGAGGCGGCTTTCAACGGGGGGGGGATCTTAGATGCTGATGCTGGTGGTAATCCTTGGGCAACCTAGACGGCCCAAATCCGCCGACCCTGTGTCGGCGTGTGGAAGAGGCTTTTCGGTTTTCTCTGTTCTCTCTGAGGCTGTCCTGTCTGCCTCCTGTTCGTCGTCGTCGTCGTCGCTCACCCCTCTTTCCTGGGACTGATCGCTGGGACGCCCCTTTCCTTTCATCCTTTCTCTGCGGGGGGGGGGTGTCCCGGGAAAGTCCCGGCGAAGTCCCGGGGAAGTCCCAGGTCAGATATACGACGCCTCTCCTGGGAAACCCGCGGCTCCACAAAATTCAAGAGAGACGTCGAGGGAAGCCTATTCCCTTTCATCCCTTTCCCGCCGGGGGGTGGGGGGTCCCGGGGAAGTCCCGGGTCAGATACGACGCCGCTCCCGGAAATCAATCCTGCGGCTCCCCAAAATTCCAGAAAAATCACGTTGATGGAAGCCCCTCCTTGTCATCCCTTCCCCGCCGAAAGGGGGGGGGGGTCCTGGGGAAGTCCCGGGGAAGTCCCGCTGGGAAGTCCCGGGGATGTCCCGGGGTAGTCCCGGGTCAGATACGACGCCTCTCCCGGGAATCTCGCGGCTCCACAAAATTCCAGAAAGACGTCGAGGCAACCCCTTCCCTTTCATCCCTTCCCCGCTGGGAGGGGGGGGGAGGGGTGTCCCAGGGAAATCCCGGGGAAGTCCCGGGGGGGGCCTGGGTCAGATACGACGCCTCTCCCGGGAATCCCGTGGCTCCACAAAATTCCAAAACCTTGCTCGCCTCACTCTCCTCCTGATCATTCCCCCCCACCCCTTGAGCTCCTACTCCTCCTCATCCTCTTCTTCCTCCTGTCCCCCTCCTCATCCTCCTCCCCATGTTTCGCACCCTCCTCCCCGACCTCAGGGTCGGCGGCACCGGCCGCAAGGCCTTCGCAACATTCCCACCATCACCACAAACGGGATCCTCTCCCACTCCAGGCGCTCCCAGGCGTCCCCAGACGCTCCACGACCGCTCCCCAAGGCGCCCCCGGGCTCGCCGCCGCCACCAGCGGCAGCGCGGAGGCCCTCGCGATCGTGCTCGTCGCCTCCGCGGCCCCCCAATGGCTTCACGTCCCCCGCGGTCGCCTCCGCGGCCTCCAGGGCGGGGCGCGCGCGGCCCGGCCTGGGCGCGCCGCGGGCCTCCTCGTCCCCGTCCGCCGCGGGCGCGCGGGGCTCCTTCGCGCGCCGCCGCCGCCGCCGCCGTCGGCGCCATAAGTGGGCGGGCGGGCGGCCGTCGGCCTCGAGGAGGCCGAGGGAGGCGGGAGGGCACGCGGGCACGAGGCGGGGCGGCCGCGCCTCGGAGCGAGAGGCGCCGTCGGGGCGGGCGAGCTGAGCTGGAGGCCCGCCGCAAAGTCAAGCAGAGGCCGAACGAGGTGGAGGGAGGGGGACGGGGGGGGGAGGAGGAAGGGCGGTGGGGGAGCCCGAGGGAGGAGGGCGAGAGGGCGGGCGGGTCTGAGCGTGGAAGGGGGCGAGACCGAGCGGGGAAGCAGGCGAGAAATGCCTCCTGGCCGTCCGCCATTCCTCCTCCTCCTCCTCCTCCTCCTCCTCCTCCTCCTCCTCCTCCTCCTCCTCCTCCTCGATCGATGACCTTCGAAACGTGAGCTAGTGTCAACGTGTGCATTGAGTATCGATTAACCGATCCCCATCACCAGCGGCGTGGCCTGGGCCCCACTGGCCGATTTACCCCCCTAGATGGGGATATAGGTCGTTCCCTTCGGGTTTCGAGTTGTGTATCCCCAACTAGGGTGGTAATTTGGTGGGGGTCTCGAAGGGGATGGAGATGGGGATGGGGATCGGTTAAACGATACCGATACCGCCACCAAACGAGGCAGGCGGTGTAGTAGCTGACAAGCTGTGTGCTACGACCAGACCCAGTACAGAAGATAATCCTTCGAATTCATGAGACCCTCCGCCGGCTAAAACGGCCCAAGCCACAAGATCCCTCGAGCGCACCCTCCCCCAGGATGCACAAACACACCCAACAACAACGAAGAACATTGGGGCACCCTCCCCGCACCGATCTCGATCTGATACCTCGGACCGACCGTAGCGCCAACGTGTGCATGCCCACCGAAGCGACATCACGAGACGCAGGCGGTGCACCGGCCGACAAGCTGTGTGCCACCGGTGGAGCTGCACAAGGCCGAGGGCGTCCTGCGCCGGAGCCCGCCGCTGGGGCCTCGCCGCGGCGTCGGGCTGCTGCGGCCGGCGCCGCCGCCCGGGCGGCGGCGCCTCCTGCCGAGGAAGGGCGGGGGAACTGGCAAGAACATGAGCAGCGGCGTAAAATCTCAGAAAAGCGGAGGGTTCAGGCAACAGAGTGCTTGACAGCGCGCCTGCCTCCCCCCCCCCCCCACCCGAGACAAGTGCGGCAGAGGGTCCGACATCGAGGCGCCCTCCCGAACTGCCTCCCTCCCTCCGGCTC